ACTTAGTTACTAAGTTCATTAAAATTAATAAGGTAAAATGGCTTAACTTTTCTTATTATTTTAAATTTGTTAAAATGTTTGGATACATTTACAATTGACAAGAGATCAGTTACATTTGTAAATGGTTTTTGAAAATAATTTGTAAAGCACTATGGAATTTGCTTTTGAAATCGAAATGAGATGTATGAGGCAAAGATGTTTTATGCTTGCGTGATTAGCTGTAGGCTAGTCTAATTGTTATATATCAAGCGTATTACACTACAGCACGTAATGGTTTAGGTGGGGCTTCTGATCTCTACGTACCATGTATTCTGGAGGATCAATAAGGTCTTTCTATTGTTTTTTTCTTTTCCCGGTAATTTTTTTTTTTTATCTTTATAAATACTTCATGAAGAGAGTAATATTAATTTTAATATATATTATTATTTCATTATTAAAAGGAAATTTATTTACTTTTATAAAATATTACATGCATGTCTGTAAGTTATTGAATCATTTTTATCGTAACGCACTACGGGAGATGTAACTACCTATATGTTATTGACTAAGACATTTAAAAATTGGAATATATCCTATTTCACATGGTCAGAATTTTAGTAGTCGAGATGGATCTATATCATACAAAAATAAATCTGCACCAACGAATAAAAACAATGGAACTCACAGTATTTTTGAAGAACCGATGCAGAAAATGATGAAGAATTCGAACCCAATAAAAATTGTCTTCTTAAGACAATTTTTTAAACGTTTTGGTTTGAAAAAATTGGAGGAAAGCAAAAATAATTTTATTTCTCTCACACACGATCAGACCGGACAACAGCACACACATGGTGGATCAAGGCTCACCTACCTACTTTCTCCTCCACAGAGCGGTATGCCCCAAGGGACAAACTAGAGAGGTGAGGTAGAGGTTTATAAATGTTTCCAACTTTTATTCTTTGTCTAATGTGAAACTTCTATCCCACGCACCTTTTCATCTTCTCCAATTACTTCTTATTCATAACTCATGAAATTTTAGACATAAATTCTAACACTATCAAGAAAAAGATGTTTATTTGTTAGACGTAATTACTTGACTGTAATACTATTCCATTATAAATAAGATGACTAAGAGGAAGGATCATCTTAAACTCTCAAGCTATATAGGCTTTAAATTTTTTTTTTTCTAATCTGCCATTTAAAATGTATATGTAATGATTTATTGCCTTAAATATTTTTAAACTGGTTAAATAATCTTTTATATGTTTGTAATATGTTTATAAATGTAATTTATGTCTCAAACGACAAAATCTCTTACTTTCGTAAATTTGAGAAGTAATAACGTGATTAAATTGATGACATTAAGACAAACGCATTGATGGCCACATGAAAGGACATACCCCAACCCAGCACTCTTCGACCACGACCACAAGAAGATTGAAGTTTAATATTTTGAATATAAAAACAAGTGTGAGCGCTTCCATGCGATGGCCCATCTAATCACCGTTTCACCGTCCAAAACCAGACGGCTATTCATTGTAATAATGTATAGTAAATGGAATTCTAGGAATCTCTAACGATAACAGAAACCATTCACAAATACAAAAATTGTAAAGGTTATCTGCTAATGGATATTTGTTCTCTGTGTATTTCTAAACGGATGCTGTATGAGATATTTAATGATAAATTTTAATTTGTGCATCATTTGTTTATACATACACAAAAAATAAATTAGCAAAAAATAGATGTAATTAATCAATTATCCGATGCCCACGCATGCGTCTCCATTGGTATGAAAGGAAAAAGGAAAGATTTGAATAATTAGTAGAAAAGAATTGTAGGCGAGATCGAGACGTACGGTCATGAGTAGCCTACTCACTAATCATAATTCTTAACCAATTTGGTCGGCAGCGCAGTGCAATAAAAAACCTGCTTAATCAGTTCAGTGCAAAAAATTGATTAATTATTTATGTCTTATTTTTAAATTATCAAATAAACTAAATGCATGTTCATTAAAAAAATTTATGGACTCATTTTATCATATATGTATAAAAAATTCGTATCTATAAAAAAATTATAATATTTATTATCTATATTATAAAATCTTAGTTATGCATGAATTTTTTTTATTAAAAATGTGTTAAAAGTATTTTTGTATTTGTACCGTCAAAGTTGGATTTTGTAGATTAAAAAAAAAAAAAGAGGAGTAGCTCAGTTGGCGCATGGGAGCTAAGCAGGTGGGGGATGAGAGCATGTGTTCGAATCTCCCCAGTACCACATTTGGAAGATTTAAAGCCTTAATCCTGGATCCGCCCCGAATCGAATTAATTACGAAATAATGAACCGATATAAATATTTTCAAAAAAAAGAAAAATGAAAAAGAGGAGTACACGACACTTTTACTATGTAGTCTGAAAAGACCAAATTGAGGCAACGAGATTTTTTTTTTTGGTAATTAGAAATTGTGATTGTCAAATCATAAGAGAACAAATTTGGTTGGGGCGTGTTTTTCCTTAATATTTTGGTGGTAAATTATTTTGATTATCAACTGTTTCAAGGCTTAATATGCGAACTATCTCAATAAATGCAATCACTTTTCACTAATGAGAAGATTTTGAAAGAAATAGGAGAAATTGAGTTAGTAATTTTTTTTTCTAACATTGTTGAGATATATAGTTCCACATTGATTGTATGTGCAACTAATGTGGAGTTTATAAGGCTTTGAGCACTCCCACTTCTTGAGCTAGCTTTTGGGGTGGTGTATCCCAAGGTTCTTTACATGGTATCAGAGTCTCGCCGTCCCCCACTTTCTCTTGTGGAATTTCTTAGAACAGGTAGGCTGTTAGCTCAATGGGCTCTTGTGTAATGTGGTCTTTATAAGGCCTTGAGCACTCCCTCCCCTGAGAAAATTTAGATAGACACCTGAGAGAAAATTTAGAGCTGCCGACCTTTTGGTCTCTCGTAAAAGAGAAAAAAGTACAGAGATAGAAGAGAGAAAGAGAAGGAGAAGAAAAAGAAAAAAAGAGATCGGGGAATAAATTTCTCTCTTTCTTTCTGATAATAAACTTTGTAATCCATCTTTATTAGGTAGAGAAATTGTGTGTTATTCTCTATTATTTATTAGGGAAGAACTTGTAATCCTACTATTTAAATAGTGAAATTGTTTCTCGTCTGTATTGGGAGAGATTTTACACATTAAAATTAATGTGTGTCTTTCTTCTTCTTTTCATCTTAAATTTCTACTTTTCTACTTTTTCATCCTAAGAGTGATATCAGAGTGAGAGTAAAGGATTTTGAATCAACGAGAAGAAACAAATGCTTCCTGTAATAGAGGTGCTCAAATTCACCACTAAAAACAAACCCCCTCCCCCCCCCCCCCCCCCCCCACACAACACACACACACCAAACCACCACAAAACAAAAAATTAAATATAAATAACTACAACTTTGACTTATAAGTCAGAATGCATCATGTACGTATTCAGTAGTGCAATAAAGTACTATCGCTGTATCATAAATTTTACCGTTTTATCAGTTACTATTTTGGTAAAGATACATGCTATTAATTATTATTATATGCGTTTATTATTTCTCCTAAACATCAATCCGAAAATGATATCGTTTTCGGGATCAAAAGAATTAATTAAGAATATTTTAATAAAATTCATATAATAAAGAAACAATCAAAATTCATATAACATTCTTCATTTATTCTCTTAGTTGGGATTGCTTTGCTGAAGATAATTTTATCTTTTTTGATAGGAGAAATACTTTTTTTCTTATTATATATATATATATATATATATATATATATATATAAATAAATAAGAGGTTATACTTATAACCTTTTTTTACAACCTCTTACAATCATATATCATAACCGTTGATTTCCGCCAATCAACGGTTATGATTTTCGCAAATTAAACTCATTAATTAATTATTAATTCATAATAAATGACAACCGTTGATTGACGGAAAATTAACGGTTATGATATATGGTTGTAAGAGGTTGTAAAAAAAAAGATTGTAAGTATAACCTTCCTCTATATATATATATATAAATTATTGTTTCGTGTAATAGGAGAGACTTGTTTTACCTTGTAAAATACATTGATAAATCTGTCTTGTTGTTTTTTATTTTTTTAACACATGATGTGATCCATCATGTGTTGGGTCTTTGGTATAAGAGGGAGTGTCTCTTACAACACGAGATTAGACGCTCCCACATATATATATATATATATATATATATATCAATATTTGTTATTATTTATTTATTTTTCATTATACTGGTTTATAACACCCTAAATAATGTTTTAGGACACAATTATTTTACATCGGTGTAAATTACATTCTCAATTTTGGCCATTGATACTATTTATATCTAAGGATTTCGATTTACTAAATATGTGAATAATTGGATGTAAGCAAATCAATGATCAAAGGTAAGATTTTTTATTCTTATATTGTATAAGGATAATTTATCCCTTTTAAATATGAGCTTTATTATTCTCATATTAGGTGAAAGTCATACACAAGGAGAGAGGGTAAAGAAAAAATACATAGTCAATCCCACTTTTAATTTGTGTATGCATGAAAAATTTTCTCTCTCATATACCGTTGAGTCTATTTCTCTTTTAAATATATATTTTAGGGTTTAATATTTCTATTATTGCAGGTAAAATATTATTTAGGGTGTTATAGCCTTATTGGTTTCATATAGTTGATGTACTAATGAATGAACCCAACTAGTTTGTGATGTTGTTATATCTGTCTGTATATTTTACTTTTTAAGAATCTTTGTGGCACAGACATGAGGCATTCCAGATATGCGGTTTTAACAGTCACCGTATGAACACGCAAATTGATTGTCAATTGTCGATCGTCGTGGCGATCGCAAGCACTGACATCACTCCACACTAGTCTATCTACTCTGCATGAACAACCATTGCTACTTAAGAGTTCACTCTGTGTTTTTTGCTTTCTTCCTTGCAATAGGAAGGGCCTAAAACTCTTATCAAATGGACAAGGAAGTTGAGCTTTCATCCGGTGAAGGTGAAATGGCTGCCCAACACATTTCACAACCACGGAGGCGCAAGGGTGGTCTCATCACCATGCCTTTCATCATTGGTTTGTATACTTTGCGCACATCAAACACACAACTTGGATTTTTGTTAATCCTTTGGTTCAGTTTTGTTGATGGTTTGGTTTGGTTTGGTTTGGATGTTGATATGAAATGGCAGCTAATGAGGCACTTGCAAGGGTGGCAAGCATAGGCCTTTTGCCCAACATGATATTGTATTTGATGGGGAGTTACAGGCTTCATCTAGCAAAAGCAACCCAGATACTCCTTTTGTCATCTGCAACCAGCAATTTCACTCCTGTGGTTGGTGCTTTCATTGCAGATTCTTATCTGGGTCGATTCCTTGCTGTTGGGTTTGGTTCCATCATCAGTTTTCTGGTATTCATTTTCTTTTTCTGATTCTATTCTACTTTTTCTTATCTTTTGACTCGAATATGCTCGAGTCCAATTTTGGAGTTTGACTTGTCTTCTTACCCATTAATTGCTTTCATAAATAATGTGAGAGCAATGAATCCCAGTGAGGATGATGGCAGATCTTGTTTAATAACGATAGCATGTAACTTTCTGAGGAAAACTATCTTAAGTTATTATCACTATTATTATTTTTTGGGGGCCTGCGAGTTGGGATTTTCTGGAAGATAAGATAAATATGGTCTTTTTCGTTTTAATATGATTAACTACGATAGCAGAGTTCATCTGATGAAGTTATTATTCATGGATAAATAAGATTTGATCCGGTCAATTGGATTGCTAAACCCTATGATTCTGTTCAAGTCTCTTCGGACTATAATCCAATAATCCCTATCTACTATTCACAATTGGATGGTGGCATATTCCCTTATTCAGAGAAAGAAAGAATGATACAAGGGAAAAGTGCCGTCAAAGTTTCATGTGTTGTGAATATTAGATAGCTACAATATAAGTATAACGGAAGAAAAAAAATTTAATGTAAAGAAACTAATAACTGTCTCTGATTCTATTGCACATCAATTTTTAAAATACCATTATGGAATTTGACAATCTTCCGAAAACTCTTTGGTCATTGGAATGGTTAATGATGTAGTCTTCCCAATTGGTAAGAAGACATTCAAATTAGTGGATGTTCTGAAAATTATGCTTTAATCAGAAAAATAAGTAACCTTTTTTATTTTGTTTTCTTTGGTAACAGGGAATGACACTCTTGTGGTTAACAGCCATGATTCCACAGGCGCGGCCTCCCTCTTGTAGCCATGCAACAGAAACTTGTAAATCAGCAACAGGAGGGCAAATGGCAATGTTATACTCTGCCCTTGCTCTCATGTCCATTGGAAATGGTGGCCTTTCATGTTCCTTAGCATTTGGTGCAGACCAAGTATATAGAAAAGAGAACCCCAATAACCCGAGGGTCTTGGAAATATTCTTCAGCTGGTATTATGCTTCTTCAGCTATTTCCGTCATAATTGCCCTCACAGGAATTGTATATATCCAAGATCATCTTGGATGGAAATTGGGTTATGGAGTACCAGCAGCACTTATGCTTTTATCTACTGTCTTCTTCTTCCTTGCTTCTCATTTTTATGTAAAGAATAAAAAAAAAACCAGCTTGCTAACTGGATTTGTACAAGTAATTGTTGTGGCCTATAAGAACAGAAAACTTCCATTACCACCTAGGAACTCAGAAGAGCTTTACCATCACAAGAAGGACACGGATCTTGATGTTCCAACTGATAAACTAAGGTAGAATCAAATTACCATCCTTTTTAATCTTTTGAATTTTCTGTGAATGAAACACATAAACTTCAGCTGATGCTTTTTATTTTCTAGGTTTCTGAATAAAGCTTGCGTTATTAAAGATCCAGAACAAGATATAGCCTCTGATGGGTCAGCATCAAATAGGTGGAGTCTCTGCACAGTGGATCAAGTAGAGGAACTAAAAGCCATTATTAAAGTTATTCCCTTATGGTCTACGGGGATCATGATGTCACTTAACATTGGAGGCTCATTTGGATTACTGCAAGCTAAATCCCTGGACAGACATATCACCTCACACTTCCAAGTTCCACCTGGTTCTTTTAGTGTAATCATGGTACTTACAATATTTGTATGGATAGCTCTGTATGATCGTGTTATTCTTCCTCTAGCATCAAAGATCAGAGGCAAACAAGTTAGGATCAGTGCAAAGACAAGAATGGGAGTTGGGTTGCTTTTCTCTTTTCTCCACTTGGTAACTTCAGCATTGGTTGAGACTATAAGGCGTAGGAGAGCTATGAAGGAGGGATATCTGAATGATGCTCATGCAGTGTTGAATATGTCAGCGTTTTGGCTTGTCCCTCAGCTTTGTTTGGGTGGCATAGCTGAAGCATTCAATGCAATAGGCCAAAATGAGTTTTATTACACCGAGTTTCCCAAGACTATGTCCAGTGTTGCTTCTTCCCTTTCCGGATTGGGAATGGCTGCAGGAAACCTGGTATCTAGTTTTGTGTTCAGCACTATAGAACATGTTACATCAAGAGGGGGGAAAGAGGGGTGGGTTTTAGACAACATTAACAAGGCTCGTTATGACAAGTACTATTGGGTTATTGCTGGAGTTAGTGCTCTTAATATAGTGTATTATCTAATATGCAGTTGGGCTTATGGACCTACTGTTGATCAAGTATCCAAGGTAAGTGATGAAAATGGCTTGCATGAGGAAGAGTTAACCCAAATTGGGATGATTAATGGGGTTCAGGATGAAAAGTAAAAGGAAGGCTCCGTGGAGATATAGATGCTCAAAGTCCTAAAAGTTGTTTGTTTAGTTGATATGTTGAATTCTGATCAGATTTTTGATCAAGCAAAAAACCTTACTATGTAGTGATTCACACTCAAATTTGGATAGACATGTTTATTTTTCCATTTTTTGACAATTACTAGTCGCATCTATGTTTGTGTATAATAGCATGTTGTATATTAAAATTGTAATGCTATAAAATTAATGTTATAGTTAAAACCGCGATTTGAACGGTCTTGAGACTATTGCAAAGGATAAATTATCCAAAGCCAGGGGTAAAACAAAGATTTTCTGGGTCAAAGTTCCTATAGTCATTCTAATTGGGACATGTCTAAGTATAATCAATCTACTTGGCACTGATTTCTGTTTTGGGCTGTAGGAACTAATATTGAATGAATGAATAATTAATACAAAATCGAAGATTTTCCATTTTGAGCACGATAATACTTGCTATATATAAATATTATCCATAAAAATTCAATACTTGATTAATCAGATAAATGAGAAATAAGCAAATGAATAAGGAAATAATATGATTGATTAAGAAAATTTGAAAATTATCTGAGCAGATTTTAATTGTAAAAAATAAAGAAAAAAGTTTGGAAAGCAGAGAGTGAAATTAAAAATATTAAATATAAAAATTATAATAAAGGAAAAAAAAAGGAAAATATAATTTTTGATCAAAGAGTCGTGTATTTGATGAAGAAAGAAAATATGTGAAAAGATTGTCTCATGAGTGAAATTTATATAAAAAGATTAACTAGAAGTAAACTTTTGTAATCTGATTTTGGTCAGCAAAAACATTGACATTGAATTTAAGCTTTATTACACTTTTTAATTCTAATGAAGTATTTTTGACATTCTTTAAACTTAGAGTCTAATCCTTACTTAGTTGTCTTTCTGCATTTTACAAAAAGATACAATTGACCCCATGATATTACCATTCGAACAACATGGCTTTGGGTTTATTAGACCTTGATTGTGAATGACAAACAGTCCGTACAACTCACGTGATAGGTCAAGAGTCAAGGTTGTTTATCTTGCATTTTTTTCTTAATAAAAAAATAAAGTAACATGTGATAATTATTTGACACCATATGACCAAGAATTTTCTAAATAAAAAATAGTAATTAATTGATCATTTTAGAGACAAATGCATTAATTGTCACAAGAAATAATCATGCCCACCAATAAAAAAATATGTAAATGTCTTCTACGTGTCCATTGTCCAACTGCAACTCAATTGCTTTTGTCCACTGATCCGAAGGCTCGAACACCAGATTATGATTCATTTTTCTTCAAGTACTGAGGAAATTAATAGAATATCCAATAAATTTTCATGTTACGCAATGCTTAAAGTCTGACAAATGCATTTGATTGATTTGATACAGATGATCAAGTAAAGAAATAAGATTCGAACTTGAGTAGTGAGAGAAAAAAAAAACATTTTTCACATGTGTTTTAATATTTCTTATTATTGAATAAAATTTTATGTCAATCCCATTTAATGAGTGTGTAGTGATACTTAAATGAAATTCTACTCAATAACATTTATCATTATTTATGTCCATATTAAAATAGTTGTCATTGTAAAAAAGTTTAAAAAAAATGTTAATTATTACTTTCTTAATTTCATTTTTGGCTTTTAGTATCTCTAATGAGTAAAACGAGAGAAAGTATATTAATGAAATAAAAAGATAATTGAGTCAATTATAACTATATTTTTTAAAATTAAAAATATTTAATGTCATAAACACAATTATTTAGAATTAAAGGGAGGAATAGCAATGAAATGGCACATGATCCAACTATTTCTTAGTACGAACTTCAATATCTTTTTCAATCACAGATTAAAAAAAACAAAATCCTGAATGAAGCATAGTTCTAGCCAACTATTGGATGATATTACTTAATTGGCACAGCACTCGCATATACTCCAATCTAGCTACTTCGTCATACCAAGAAAAGAAAGCATCATAGCACTTGAGTCAGTGGTGTCTTTAATTACTATTCTAAATTATTTCCAAGTATTCGAGATGCTTCTTTAATTTTAGAGATTATTGGACAGAGTCCACTCTTGCTAATATATAATAACCCAATTGTAGTATCAGATGCAGGGAAAATAGGTCATTGTCCAAAAGATTAGGATAGGCATGTGCATGAAGATTTTGTAGTTCACTACTTCTTTCTCTGGTATTCCAGCTTCTTGGTTTTCCAGAGCATGGAGAAAGAAGAGGAGGCTGCTTCAGTTCATGAGGATATGACTCACCAACACATGATCAATCCACATGTTCAAAGGCGTAAAGGGGGCTTCGTTACCATGCCTTTCATTATAGGTACTTTGTGCTCAACAAACAAAAGAAAAACAAAAATATGTGTTTGGTTCCTTAAGGTCACCTTTTTTTTTTTTTTTTTTCTTATTACTTTTTACCATTACTTTGGTACAATTATATCAAAATTAAATTAACGGCTCTTATTCGATATTATTTGATAACTGTGGATTTGATCTTAATCCAATAATAAGAAAAATAATTATAAAAGATTATACGTATAATTTCATTGTACTAAAATTTTACATGTTATAATTTTTTTTCATGCATTTACTTTATGAGCATAAGCTTTCCTATACTAGCAATTTTTTTGTAGTTTGATTTGGGTGTTCAAAATGAAAATATATTGCAGCAAATGAGGCACTAGCTAAGCTGGCTAGCGTAGGGCTTTTTCCAAACATGATATTGTATTTGATAGGAGATTACAAGCTGGGAGTAGTGAAAGCAACCAAAATTATGTTCTTATGGTTTGCTGCTACCAATTTCACTCCTGTGATGGGTGCTTTCATCGCTGATTCTTATTTGGGTCGCTTCCTTGCCATTGGTTTGGGTTCAATTATCAGTTTCCTGGTACCATTCTTTGTCCTTTCTAACTACCTATGTTATCTTATTACTGATCATACCCTTTTTTACTCTTTGATTACTGTAAGCACATGTAATCATGTAAATCCATTCTGAACTAACCTTTATACCTTTGGATCTGTGTATGTAATCATGTAATTCGGATGCCCTGCAAGGGCGGGACACTTTAAATATTCTGAACTATATTTTGTACAAAAAAAAATAAAAATTAGTAATTAAATAAATGATAATATTTTATTAGCTAATGTTAATTTTGAAAACATTATTTTCTCTTTTGATTAAAAATTTATGTTTGTATGTTAATTTTATATGTTATATTATAACCATATCATATCTTGTAATGTTTAAAATTTTCTGTTTTTCTATGTCCGCGTGTGCATTAAGTGCTTGCTTGATGCCCAATCTCATTGGTTAGTGGAATAATTTGACATGTAGTTCAAAAGGTTGCCTAGTTGTTTTGGGTAACACCCGCCCGACCGGCTAGTTCGACCCAGAATTCGGTGAACTGGTCATCGGACCGGTTCGGATCAAGTATTCGATTGGTAATGCATCGTCCGATCAAAATTCGGACAAAATCGGTCAATTCCGATCAAAATCGGTGACCCGGTTGGGTCATGCATTTAAAAAAAAAATCAAAAAACCAAAATTGTTTCATATTGTCAAAAAAAATGCAGAACTCATTTTAAGAAATTTTTGTAATTTTATTTGCTAGTATACTCTTCTACAATGACCTCAAATTTCAGCTTCCAATACTGAAGTAATTTGCGGAATAATAAATTAAAAGAATGTGACATATGTTATTTTTAATGTAGTTGAATTTGAAAAATATGAGTTTAATGTCATTAAGAGGTATGATTATGGGGATTCTGAGTTGCAATTTAAAAATTACATAGTAATAACATGCATTTTTATTTATTTATGCTTCATGCTTTTTAGCTTATTTAATGAATCTTGTTTAATTCATTTTAGATATAAAGAGTATAATTGAATTTATATATTCATATTTATATATATTTTTATATATCTATATATATCTGAGTTAACCGGTCTGACCCATGACCCACCAACTTGACCAGTGATCCAGTATTCTAACCAACCGAATCGATGTCCAGGTCAGATTTTATAACACAAATATTTGGGTATGAGCATGAGATGATGATTGATGAGAATATGATCTACGAAACTTCCCTACTAGATATAAAGAAACAAGTATCAATAATGCTACATACTGTTTATTATTATATTGGAGCTTTTTCGTCGAGTGATTGTTAACGTAAACCTAGGAGTGTTTAAGTCTCAACTTTACCTAATTTCTCATGCACTTTTAAGTGTTAGTTTAAAAATTGATCAGATGTGTTTTGAATCAGATGTATGCCGGTTGATTTGTTTTACTTGATGTTATATAATATTTTTTAAATTAAAGATAAATGATAAATTTTTAACTTAAATTAATAACTTGTACATAATATGATATTATTTGTATATTTACATAATTTATTTAAAAATATATTTGGTAAAATATCTCTTAATTAAGTTTTTTAAATTTTCAATTTTATGACTTAACTATACACAGTAGGTAAATTTATACATTTTAGACTCGGGTCAATCTGGTTAAAAAGGACCAAATTTTCGAATCTGTGTCGTGATTAGGGAATTTAAACTTTTCTAAAGTGAAGAGTATATCTATAAAGCAAAATATAGAGTTGTAAGTTGTAACCGTTAATTAAATAATAAATTATGAAATTGTTAAAATTTATTTACTTGATTTTTTAATTTTAATAACTCCGCAATTTACCTTTTAAAATGCAGCCCTCATTTTGAAGGTACTAAATTCATGATCAAGACCAAATTCGAAAATTGGCAGAACAAAAATTCCAATCGAAATCGTAAACTCGGCCAAGAACACATTGTTGATATAACACAATAAAAATTAATAATCATGCATATTGAGTATAGTAAACTCAAGTGTGTACTTGTGGGGAGGGGTTTTGCACATTCCTAGAGAAGGCTTCAACCCCAAATTCCAAGAGTCGCTCATATATTTTTTCTTTTTAAGTAACACGAGTTCATAAAAAAAAAAATGTTCAATGATTTTCTGGGTCAATTCGTACCAGGCCTAGTCCCTAACTGGGGTGTGATACCTGGTCATAGAAGAAAAAATGTTAGTAGCTTTTAGGAAATAATATATTCAGATCAGATCATGAAGTAGGCCTTTTCAAAATTGAAGTCACACACTTCAAAAAAAAAAAAAAATGAGATTCAAATATTTCAAAATGGGAAGGTTATACTTATTATCATTTTTTCTTATTATCAATTTTGTTATTATTGGATCAAAATCAAATCAACGGTTCTCACTTGATATTATTTTGTAACCGTTGATTTGATTTTGATCCAACGATAAAAAGTAGTAAGAAAAGATGGTAGTAAGTATAACATATCCTTAGGAAATTTAGCCATTCTGATTTTGGAAGAATCAATTATTACAGGGAATGGCACTGATGTGGTTAACAGCCATGACCCCTCAGACAAGGCCTCCCCCTTGCAGCCACTCAACTGAAAACTGCCAATCTGCAACAACAGGCCAAATTGCTATCTTATTGTCTTGCTTTGCTCTCATATCCATTGGAGGCGGTGGCATCTCATGCTCCTTAGCATTTGGTGCAGATCAACTTAACAAAAAAACCAAGGCCAATAACGAGAGGATCTTGGAAAGCTTCATAAGCTGGTACATAGCTTCTCAAGCTATTGCTGTCGTTTTTTCCTTGACGGGAATAGTTTACATCCAAGATCATTTTGGATGGAAATTGGGTTTTGGTGTTCCAGTAGCCCTTATGTTCTTGTCCACTATCTTGTTCTTCCTCATTTCTCCACGTTATGTGAAGCAGAAACCACAAAGCAGCATTCTCACTGGCTTTGCACAAGTAATTGTTGTTGCCTATAAGAACAGAAAGCTTTCATTTCCACCTAAGGACATGGCTGGAATGTATCACCATAAGAAGGACTCAACCCTTGTTGCTCCAACTGATAAACTGAGGTCGAATGCAAACCTTTTCTCCTAATGATATTGAGTTTGATGAAATAATAATTAACTTCAGGTGATGCTTTGTGTTTTAGGTTTCTGAATAAAGCTTGCATCATCAAAGACAGAGAACAAGATACAGCCTCAAATACATGGAGTCTTTGCACAACAGAGCAAGTAGAAGAACTAAAGGCCATAATTAAAGTTATTCCCCTTTGGTCTACCAATATCATGGTGGCAGTCGGCACTAGCCAAAACTCATTTTGGTTGCTCCAAGCTAAATCCATGGACAGACATATAACTTCAAACTTTGAAATCCCAGCAGGCTCTTTTGGTGTCTTCATGATGCTGTCAGTATTTATAACTGCGAGTGTCTATGATCGTGTCATCCTTCCTTTAGCATCAAAAGTCAGAGGAAAGCCAGTTAGGATTAGCGCCAAAACTAGAATAGGAATTGGGTTGTTTTTCTCCTTCGTGGACTTCATAGCTTTAGCAGTTATTGAGAGTAAAAGGCGAAGGAAAGCAATTCAGGAGGGATATATTGATAATCCTCAAGCAGTGTTGGACATGTCTGCAATGTGGCTTATCCTACATAACATTGTGTGTGGTATAGCAGAAGCATTTAACGCAATAGGCCAATCAGAGTTCTATTACTCTGAGTTTCCAAGCAGCATGTCAAGCATTGCCGCGTCCCTATTCAGCCTAGGATCTGCTGTAGGAAACTTGGTAGCTTCATTTTTAGTCAGCATTGTGGATAACATTACTTCCAGAGGGGGTAAAGAGAGCTGGGTTTCAGATAATATTAACAAGGGTCACTATGACAAGTATTACTGGCTTCTTGCCATGATGGGTTTTGTTAATATACTGTACTATTTGGTTTGCAGTTGGGCTTATGGACCTAGTGCTGAAGCTGCCTCCAAGAAGGAGGAACTGTTAACTGAACCAGGTAATAGGGTTCATCATGAGCAAGGAGAGGCAATGCAAGGCTCCAATGTGGAACAAATGCTGAATCCCAGATAATTGTTCACTAAAATTAATCAGTCATGCTGGTCACACTGTTGATTAAAAACGTTTACTACCAAAATGGGAGCCAGACTCAATTTGGATAGTAGCTTTCTATTTTACTTTTTTCCCAGGTTCTGCTGTTGTAGCAGTTGCGTCCATGAATAATATTATTTGTGCACAGCAATTGCATCTTGCAATGTAAGTTTTAATTAAGAAGAGCAAAACTGAACTAGCATGTCATAATTTCTTGTCCATGGGGTGAAAACAAACTAACAAGAATGATTTTCTTCCGAGGATCCATTGTAAAGTATAGGAAGATATGGTTGGCATGTGCAAAAAGGGAGTGATGAAGTGAAAAGTTACTTCAAAGCATTGAGTTCAGGACTTAATGGTACGCCTTGTCAAGATGAAAATAAGGACAGCAACAACAACATAAGTAAAAACGGTAAATGACAATTAAACCAGTCTTGTTCAATAAATGAAAACAGAAAGGAAAAAAATTACATTGCTTAGCAGTTATATTTCATCCTTACCACATTGTCTTTCAAATAAAATGAAATGGATGAAGAGAAAATCAGAATGGGAGTGTCTATTTAAGAAACCAAACAAAACATACAAGCTTATGTTGATCCATGAACTCATATCTAATAGTATGATAACATTCTTGTAATCCTACACAAATGCATTTTATTGAAGAAATCAATGTCAAAGACTCTGAAAGACTCAAGCTCTAGAGCTTACTGGCCTTACTATAAGTCGAAATAATATTAGTTGCTGACATCCATTGCTTTCCCAATGCAATTATTTCTCCATTCTCTTTCTTTCTAACCTCCACTACCACAGAAGTTAACCTCTCCTTCTTTCCCACAACTTTTGCTTCTAATTCAACCTCTTCCTGTCATTAAAATGTAAAAACCCATGTTAATGGAAGAAAAATAAAAATTCTTTAAAAAGGGGATGAAAAAACAGTCATTAGACATTAGGGAAAAATTTACCAAACAAAAAAATTTCATTTTTATAAGCCTTTAATTGGCCACCAACTTTACCTGAATCTTAGCCGTTGAGTAGAATGATATACAGAAATCAACAGAAACACTAAACCTTGGAAAAAAGGAATAGATGGCCAAGCTGCCAATGATGTCAATTAAGGTTGCGATTGCTCCGACGTGCCAATTTCCATTTTCATCCTATTAAAACAAAGCCATGGCATAATTTTTATGAACCAAAAACGAAAAAAATACAAAAATAAAGAAAAGGGTTAAAAAAGGAGGAATTATAACAAGGGTTGAATAAGGCTTTTACAGATACGGTGTTGGGCACGATGAAACTACAATGGAGGAAACCTTTGCGGGCCTCGAGTAATCGGATACCCTTTGTCGTTATAGCCTCAAACTCTTGTTGAACAGTACCATCTGATAGATCACTTAGTCTTTTGATGCTATGTTGCAAACCGGGATCTTCCATCTTATTGTTCTTGTTCGTTTGAAACATGCCCAAGAAAATAGCGTGCCTCAAAGTCTTTACATGTTATGTTTTAAAGAACAAGTGAACAACTATCTATGATTCTATATCGTAGGACTTTTTGGGGCTAAGGACTTAACCATTTCCCGTCTTCAATTTTTTGGTGCTGAGATAACGGGGCCAATTTCACCAACCCCATAATCTCGGAGTTATGCATTCATGTTACATAAAATAAATAATATAAAAAAAGCGTAAATATTTTTTTTTATCGTCAGCAAATTTTACTATGCTCATTTTAGTCTCATCGTGGTCCTTAAAAAATTCAAAATAGACTTATTTAGTTAAAATCGTAGTTCCTCACAAATTTTAAAAAAATCTATATTAGTCCCTAAAAGGACTAAAATAAGTCCATTTTTTTATTTGCTAAGGACTAAAACAGACATCGTGAAATCTGCTGATGAAAAAAAAAAAATTTACTCCAAAAAAAACATCATCACCCATGAGATATTCCTTCGTTTAGTACGTGTCTATGACGATTTAGTCTCTGAGACACTGATTCAACTATAAATTAAATTACATAGGATTTCAATAAAAAAAATAAAAAAATTACATAGGATTCTTCTAATACTCCCAATATATCAGGATCTTGATGAATTAAATAATTAATTATAAATTACAGAATAAAAATTATTTTTGAAAAGAATTTAAAACCTTAATCTAAAATTGCAGATATTCGTGGTTTATAAAAATAATAATAATAATAATAATAATTATGATAGGTGCGTTGGAAGTCTAGTGTTGTATTCCTTTTAAGAAAGCTTCGACCAATAAAAAATAAAATTGAAAAAGATTTTGAGGTTAGCTAAAATAAGAATAAATAATTTAAATAAAAGTAACGTTAGACATGAGACACATTTTATTTTTGGTATTAAACATTTTATTTACAATGGAAGAATTGAAATTGTTTATGTCAAGTTAAATAGTATAAAAACCTTATTCATGATACGATTTACATTTCCCCTGAAGTATCATTATGCTGATAATAAGCCTCGCCCATCTGGTCATTTGAGTTCATCTAGTTTTGTTGTTGTGGAAGAAGTGCAATCTCAATTTCTTGGAGTGACTTGCCTTTTGTTTCGAGGACATTTTTCTTCACAAAAATGACAGCCATTACACAAAATGAACCAAAAATAGTATAGAGGAGTTGTGCCCCGAGTTGCTCCAGCAAGCGCAAAAATAATAGACCAACGAAGAAGTTTATCACCTGTTAAACAAGTGTGTATAATTAGCAATCTTAAAGATCTTCGATAACATTGAACAAGGAAATGGACCGTGGATAAAAGATAACAAGGTGGGAAATAAAATGACACTGATGAAATTCGAGAGGCCAAAACTCCATTCCTATATGCACATTGATTTTGATAATTTAGAGCCTGGAAGAAAATGTATACGGGGACTAGGGTAGGTTATATTTACTCGTAGTTTATAGTGTAGTTTGTAAGAGTTTGTAAACAAAAAGTTTATAAATATAAACTACCCTTATATATATAGGAGAGACAGGTTATTCTACCTACCATTTTTTTCTGCCTATCACACTCCAACACTGTTAGATTAGAATCTTAAAAAGAGAGAGAAAGATAAATGTTAGTTAAGATTCTGATCTAATAGTATTTTAGAGTGGTAGACAAAGGTAGGCAGAAAAAATGATAGGAAGAATAACCTATCCCATATATATATATATATAGGGGCAAGATATTCTTACACTAGTGCAAAATAATGGTTATTGATATAAGTAAGATCAATGGTCAAGATTAAGAGTGTAAACTGATGTAAATGATTGTGACCTATATATATATATATATATATATATATATATATATATATATATATACTCCAAAGAATCGTTAAAAAGGAACAAATGCAGAAGAAAATTACCCAATGCACAGCCATACAAATAGACATTGCCTTTGCTCTAATCTTGCCAGGTAGGATTTCGGAGAGGAGGAGACCAGGAACAGGACCAGCACCAACAGCAAATGACAGGACAAACCTGCATTGCATTGTCAATTCCACATTTAGCAATACTTACATTCAAAAGTTAGATTTCTAAACAAGGAATGGGTCTATATGCTATTTGTCCAACAACAACAAAACTATGTAGCTATCCTTTTCAGAAAAAGAGAATCAAATATTAATGAAAAACCTACATTAGATTTATTGCTCTGTTCTTATGCAGTTAAAATGACATTGAAATCTATGTTTTCAACACACACAAAAAAAAAAATTGAAATATATGTTAATCACTTGTCAATGCATACATTTAATTTGCAAAGATAAGCTATACTCACTAATAATGATTTTTCAAAAACCATTTACTGAATATTCCTATAAGAGCAAAGAAATTTTATATATTGCAAGTATTTTATGTTGCTGACTTGCTGCAATATATTTCCTTCCATCTTTTCCATATAATTATTCTTAGTTTCTGTTTTTAATTTTTTCCCCCCCCTCGCCATGCAAGTTGAAGCTTTCTGACCACTCACATCAACATCCCACCAACAGATATATACATTGCTCCAGATCCTGATGCAAAAGAACTTGCAGCAATGACTTGTAGACCCATTGATACGGCCTAAACACAGAAAATATGTAAAGGTCAGATAATGTAACTCTCATTAGCCAACTTACGAAATTTCAATAGATTATATAATAGTCAAAAATGGAAAAACAGTTAGAGTAGTATGATCACAGAAGTCATATTATCCAACCAAGCAAAGTTCAACTTAACTCGGATGCAATACCAGATTTTGGAAATGTTGATGAAATGCATGCAGTATAGTTTGAATTTTGTGCAAAAGTTTCTGATGAAATTTTACCCAAGCAATATTCGAGTTTGAAAAAAGATCAATTCAGCAAAGTTATAGTTTTCATTATATTTTTTTACCATGCCAAAAAAGCTCCCCAAGAGAAGCACTTTCCTTCCAAGTCTATCCATCAGAATCATTGCAAGTACTGACCCTGAAGTGGCATAAAAAACAAGGTGGAGGGAAATATACAGCAATTACCAATAACAAATCATTATAAGTAAATTGAAAATAGAACCAGAACATACCCAATAAATTGCAAATTCCTACACATGTGTTTGCAAGATCTGACGGTACACCAAAGCTTTTAAAAACGGCTGAAGAGAAATAGAAAACGGCATTTATGCCAGATAGCTGCTGTAAAGCACAAAGCGTACATCCAATGAACGTCACTGCAAAATGAATTTAGCAATTAAGCAATTATCAATAAGAGCAACTATAGAGCTAACCAAACAAATATTTTGAGAAATTTATGATATATTAAGCAATCATCCAGAAGATACAACTATAAACTGCTCCACGACCAAACTACTTATATGTACATCTGAAATAGCGGCCATAGAGTAATTCTGAGAGTTTTCCTGTGGTGGATTCATCGCCTCTGTCGGACTTTGAAAGTTCAGCCATTGCAGGTTTCACATGTATCCCTCCTAATAGCTTCCCAAATGCTGCTTCAGCTTCAATGCTTCTTCCTCTCTGTACAAAGTCAAAGAATTATAAGTCCCTGAGTAGAAAAATAAACTAATTTTTTATTTTTATTTTAAAAACGAAAAACTTTGGAAGTCTTATGATTAACTAGTTCAATAATAGGTTAAAAAAGGACATCATGAAGAATTTATATATTCACTTATTTTGCCAAGTGAGTTAATCTTTATGAGAGGGGCAACTCAGTAATCTAGGAAAGCGAATCTCTTTCTTGTTGACCAAGATAGAAGCAATATGATCAATCACAAGTCAACTAGCAATAGTGCCTTCCTATAACAGCACATCAGCAGAATATTGTCCGAAGAAGGGAGATAGAAGAAACAGCACTTCAAATACTACTCATCAGAATAAAGTTGAACCAAAAAAGAGAGGTCTAAATCCATGGTAGGTTCTATTACCTCTCTCACTCCCTCGGTCTCTTTTCAGTCTAAAATTTCTAACCAGGAATTAAACTTTATATAAATCATAACAAAGATAAAGTTGTAACGTTTGGCAACTTGCAAGGATCAACGACTGTCCCCACACCTAATACGAGACTTTTCAGCGTGCTTTGTCCTGACTCGCACACTTTCCGAGAAAACTTCCCAGGAGGTTACCCATCCCAGAATTGCCCCAAGTCAAGCACGCTTAACTATGGAGTTCTTCCGTTCCGGGCTACCGAAAAGTAGATGCATCTTGTTTGTATAGGTAGTACCAATTAATTCTTATAAGCTATTCGCAACTGTACCGTCCCACACCAGCACAGTCTCTGGAATCCCTCTCTTTCGGGTGTTGATTCGATTCATTCATGTACCTAACTCATGAAAACGAGATTCAAGGAGTGGAAACTCACCACAAAGGGTTGCACAACCAAGGAGTGTGGATCCCCTAAGCTTTCCTTGAAGGAAATGTCTTCAAACACCTCTAAAAGCCATGTTGGTCGAATTTTGGGAGGAAGAAATCTCCCACCACAATTCTTCCCACACAAAACCAAGCTAGGGTTATGGAAGAGGAGAAGATTTGGAGTGGTTTAGGATTTGGAATCACTCAAAATAGTTGAGGATTGAAGGATCTATGGCTTTCCCTCTCTCCCTTTCTCTCTTGCTCTTCACTCTCTCCCTTTCTCTCTTCCTCTTCACTCCCTCTCTTTCTCTTTTTCTCCTGGTGGCTCGACGGGTTGGGAAGAAGAAATGGGGTCCTTTAGTTGTTTTGGTCACTTAACTTATGTTAAGTGACTTTAAGCGGGTATTAGCTCATCTATCTATTCAACTCTATTCACCACCAAACTTTACCCAAAAGTCTGGAATATTTTTCTAGGAATATTTTCACTTCCATTTTTATATTTTGGGTACTTTTGCCTACACCCATTTATACCCCTTAATTTTCACTGAGTACACTTTTTACCTCAAAAGTGACCCCAATTCACTTAATTAAGCTCTATTCTTAATTTTACTCACTAATACATGCTTAATTACTTAATTACATGTAATCTACTAAATAATTAGGCTAGGGCTATTATAGTCATCCCACCTTTTTGTGATTTTGTCCGCAAAATCAAGAACATACCTGTCCTTAAACTCAGGATATTGCCGGAGAAGCTCGTTTTTCCGCTCCCAAGTGGACTCTTCAGGCGCCCTTCCTTCCCATTGAACTTTTGCCATAAGAATGGATTTATTCCTCAGCCTCTTCTCATCTCTTTCGAGTATTTTCAGTGGCCCTACGGGAGTTTTCAAATTCTCCCGAATCTCAACATCATCAGGTTGAACCACATGAGAAGGATCAGCTACATACTTCCTCAACTGAGAAACATGGAACACATCGTGTAAATTTGATAATTGAGGAGGCAAGGCAAGCTGGTAGGCAACCGGTCCTACCCTACGTAGAATCTGGTAGGGTCCAATAAATCTCGGACTCAGCTTCCTCACTCCAAGGGCTCGTCCAACACCCATAACCGGTGACAACTTTAAAAACACATGATCTCCCTCCTCAAACTCTAGAGGCCGATGTTTGAGATCATAATAACTTTTCTGGCGATCTTGAGTCTTTTTCAGACGATCCCTAATCATTTTAATCTGCTCAGTGGTCTCCTGAACAAAATCCAAACCAAATCGCTCTGTGTCCCCAACCTCTGACTAGCAAGTAGGTGTCCTACACCTGCGACCATACAAGGCCTTGTAGGAAGCCATACCCAGACTAGCATGAAAACTATTATTATATGCAAACTCAATCAGCGGGAGATATCGATCCCATGCAGTACCCTGCTCCAGGGTGCAAACCCTCAGCATATCCTCCAACGTCTGAATGGTCCTCTCAGTCTGACCATCCGTCTGTGTATGATAGGCAGTGCTCAGTCTCAACTGAGTGCCAAGAGCCTCCTGTAATGCTCCCAAGAAGCGGGAAGTGAACTTCGAGTCCCGATCACTAACAATGCTCTCAGGCACCCCATGAAGCCTCACAATCTCCTTCACATAGAGTCTAGCCAATCTCTCAGCCGAGAAATCTACCCGTACTGGTAAAAAGTGTGCGGACTTGGTCAATCTATCCACAATTACCCATATAGAATCATAACTAGCCTATGTCCGCGGTAATCCCACTACGAAATCCATGGAGATACTCTCCCATTTCCATTCAGGAACATCCAGAGGTTGCAACATACCAGAAGGCTTTTGATGCTCAATCTTGACCTTCTGACATACCAGACATTTAGAGACGTATTCGGCAACGTCTTTCTTCATACCAGGCCACCAGAAATTAATTTTTAGGTCCTGATACATCTTTGTAGCTCCCGGATGGACTGTAAATTGACCTTTATGGGCCTCTGTCATTACTTCCTTTACCATCTACCTAGGTACAACAATACGGCCCTGATATAATAATATCCCCTCCTCATTGCATGATACACCACTCTGACCTTTCAGTCGTTTAGCACTTTCATTTTGCAGTTGAGCTTCTTTAATTCTGGTCATCATTTCATTTTCGATTCTTATAATTTCGATGTCACAAATTCTGACTGGAAAGACTTCAGATAATTTCATATCTCTGAACCTCTCAATCATATCAAAATCTCTCATCATCATGCTTGCTAAGCTCACAGATTTACGGCTCAATGTATCAGCTACAACATTAGCCTTGCCGGGATGGTATTTTAATTCGAAATCATAATCCTTTAGGAACTCGGTCCACCGTCGTTGTCTCATATTCAACTCCTTTTGATCAAACAAGTACTTCAAGCTCTTGTGGCCACTAAATACGGCAAACTTCATTCCATACAAGAAATGCCTCCATTGTTTCAACCCAAAAACAATTGCAGCAAGCTCTAGGTCATGGGTCGGATAATTTTCCTCGTGCGGTTTCAACTGCCTGGATGCATATGCTACCACTCGTTTATCTTGCATCAGTACACATCCTAATCCGTTTTTTAGAAGCATCGCTGTATAACTCAAATTCACCTTCCGGATCAGGAAGCACTAACACCGGAGCAGTCGTCAATTTCTCCTTAAGATTCTGGAACCATTGCCGAAAATCCTTTAATAAATCTCCGGTAGTAACCAACCAATCCCAGAAAACTCCTTACTTCCGTTACAGTCTTGGGTCTCTCCCAATCAATAACCGCATCTACTTTACTAGGATCAACCGCCACTCCTTCAGCGGAAATGACGTGACCCAAGAATTGCACTTGAGAAAGCCAAAATTCACATTTTGAAGGCTTTGCATACAACTGTTTATCTCTAAGAATTTGCAACGCTGTTCTCAGGTGATCCGCATGCTCTTCCTTACTCTTGGAATATATCAGGATATCATCAATAAAAACAATCACGAATTGATCCAGAAACGGCTTAAAAATGCGATTCATATAATCCATAAACACCGCCGGAGCATTAGTGAGTCCAAATAGAATTACCTGGTACTCATAATGTTCGTATCTAGATCGGAAAACAGTCTTCGGGATATCCTCCTGCTTAATTCGGATCTAATGGTAACCCGACCTCAAATCAATTTTTGAAAAGACACAAGCACCCCTCAACTGGTTAAGCAAATCATCTATGCGAGGGAGAGGATACTTGTTTTTAATGGTAACCTTATTCAACTGACGGTAATCAGTGCATAATCTCGTGCTACCGTCCTTTTTCTTGACAAATATAACTGGTGCTCCCCACGGGGACACACTTGGTCTGAAAAACTGCTTAGCCGAAAGTTTCTCAATATGCTTGTTTAACTCGGCTAATTCCGGTGGTGACATCCGATATGGAGCCAAATAAATAGGCCCCACACCAGGCAACAAGTCAATCGTGAACTCAATCTCTCTGAGGTGAAAGTTGCGGAATCTCATCCAGAAACACATCCACAAACTCCTTCACCACGGGAATATTGTTGATCTCCTCATGACTTCCACCCACTAAACCCCCCACAAAGACATATCCCAATGCTCCGGCCCTCAAAGCCTTTCTAACCTGCAACACAGATAAATATGGGGAAGAACTAGTAGTAGAGTCATCAGCAGAAAGCACAACGCTTTTTCCACAGCAGTCTATCATAGCACAATTCTTTGATAACCAATCCATTCCCAAGATAACTTGAAGACTGATCATAGGCAAACAGATAAAATCCAACACATAATCTCGGCCTTCATATTTAAATTCAACATCCTTGCATAAAACTGATGTATAACACTTCTCTCCAGTAGCAGTCACCACTTTCATTGGAGGAGAAATGTCGTACATAGGCAAATTTAGCCCAACGACCATAAAATCAGACATACAGGAGTGTGTAGCTCCTGAATCAAACAAGACTTCAATATCCATATTATCAATATAAATTGTACCTTTTACAAGGTTTGGAGCCTTTTCTGATTGCTGACGGTCCATAGTATATACTCTACCAACAGTCTGGGACTCCATCATAGGTGGAACAACCGAAACAGGAACAACAGTAGCTTGAATTGTCATGGTCCTCACTTCATTTTGAGGGCATTGTCTAGAGTAATGGCTGGATCTTCCACACTTATAGCAAATAACTTCACCCGTAGCACACAGACCTCTATGCTCTTTTCCACATCCTCTACACTTGGGAGGAAATCCTCTATCAACAAAGTTCTTTTAAGTTCCGGGCTTCTTGAATAAGTCAAGTGGATTGTTCACACTCAGCTTCTTACCCTTCATTTTCTTGTTCTTCCAATAATTTGAGCTCGTTTCTCATTAGCATTAGGTGCCTGGGCCTCAGAAGGCTTCTTGGTCTTGGACACATTGTGTACTTCTTCTACCTTTCGGCACTGATTCACAAATCTGCTAAACTCTCGGGTGTCACAATTTGACATCTTCCGAGACATCTTCTCATTCAGACCCCATTGAAACTTGGAGGTCATCTCAGCTGGAGTAGGTAGGGCTCTCCCATAGTTGGCGTACTTCACCAATTCATTGAACTTGGCAAAATATTGGTCGATTGACATCGACCTTGCTTCAGATCATTGTATTCATTTTGTTTCTTTTCCCTAGCCTCCCTGGGGAAGTAGTTGTCTAAGAACAACGTCTCGAACAACCGCCAGGTGATTTTCCAGTCTTCAGCTTCACCTTCCAGCATATACACAGAGTAGACCAACTTCAATGTATCAGGGCATCTCATCACCCTGAAGATCTTCTCCATAGCTTGGAGCCATTTTGCTGCCACCAGTGGGTCATAGCCTCCATTAAAAGAAGGAGGTTTGTGTTTTCTGAAAGCCGTCAATCTCCTTTCTTCGGCTTCATGTTCATCGACATGCTCTACACGTGGTTGACGAACCTCAGTGTGATGACTATGACTGCAAGAATGGTGACTGGCCTCACCATCATTTTTACCCGCTTCACCCTCTTCCTGTAGAATAGGTGGAGTAGGCGTGGCAGTGTGAGGAGGAGGAGTGGGTTGCCGGTTCTCAGGTCTAGCACCCTTCAATGTCCTCAACTCATTCATCATCGCGGCCATGGCAGTCCGCGCATCTTCATTAGTTTTCGTCAATGTTTCATTAGCCTGTCAACTAGCAGCCTGTCAACTTTGCATATCCGCCATAGTGGCCGCCACAGGATCAAATTGTTCACCTGTAGCCCCCCGACCACTTCGGGGCCTAACTAGAGCAGCCAAAACAGGTTCTGGCTGAGCATTAGCATTCGATGCCTCAGCGTTATTCCGGTTCCTCGTCATGACACTACACATGTTACACACAGAAATGAGTTGATCAGGCCCATACTCAGTGATAACAAATGCAATAATCATAAAAAGTACCAAAATAACTATAAAGCATTAAACACCAAGAAGATATAAAGATAATCCACAAGTTTCCCTAAGAAACTGCTCTGTGTAATGCCTGGCAACTTGCAAGGATCAACGACTGTCCCCACACACTAACACGAGACTTTTCAGCGTGCTTTGTCCTGACTCGCACACTTCCCGGGAAAACTTCCCAGGAGGACACCCATCCCAGAATTGCCCCAAGTCAAGCACGCTTAACTATGGAGTTCTTCAGTTCCGGGCTACCGAAAAGTAGATGCATCTTGTTTGTATAGGTAGTACCAATTAATTCTTATAAGCTATTCGCAACTATACCGTCCCATACCAGCACAGTCTCTGGAATCCCTCTCTTTCGGGTGTTGATTCGATTCATTCATGTACCTAACTCATGAAAACAAGATTCAAGTAGTGGAAACTCACCACAAAGGGTTGCACAACCAAGGAGTGTGGATCCTTTAAGCTCTCCTTGAAGGAAATGTCTTCAAACACCTCCAAAAGCCATGTGGGTCGAATTTTGGGAGGAAGAAATCTCCCACCGCAATTCTTTCCACACAAAACCAAGCTAGGGTTATGGAAGAGGAGAAGATTTGGAGTGATTTAGGCTTTGGAATCACTAAAAATGGTTGAGGATTGAAGGATCTATGGCTTTCCCTCTCTCCCTTTCTCTCTTGCTCTTCACTCTCTCTCTTTCTCTTTTTCTCCTGGTGGCTCGACGGGTTGGGAAGAAGAAATGGGGTCCTTTAGTTGCTTTGGTCACTTAACTTATGTTAAGTGACTTTAAGCAGGTATTAGCTCATCTATCTATTCAACTCTATTCACCACCAAACTTTACCCAAAGGTCTGGAATATTTTTCTAGGAATATTTCCACTTCCATTTTTATATTTTGGGTACTTTTGCCTACGCTCATTTATACCCCTTAATTTTCACTGAGTACACTTTTTACCTCAAATGTGACCCCAATTCACTTAATTAAGCTCTATTCTTAATTTTACTCACTAATACATGCTTAATTACTTAATTACATGTAATCTACTAAATAATTAGGCTAGGGCTATTATAAAAGTTCATGCTTAGGTATATATAAGCCAAGATGAGTATCAAATTTTTTTTAGTACTTCATTCCACCAATCAATTAGCCTCCAAACAAAGGATCGAAAATAGTAGAAAACAAATACCTGAAAGTCTATCAAGTTTAGTTAGTACTTGAAAGTTATTTATAAGTTACATTGGCAAGTAGATAACCTTAAAAAGCCAATGAGGACTCTCTGCACAGAACTCCATGAAAAGGGCAAGTAATGCAGCAGGAATGGCAGATACCCAGAAACAAATCCTCCACCTGAGCACAAAAGTCCACATAACATAAAACATTTCCAAAAAGAAAATAACGAAACTGTGACAGATGAAATGGAATTGACAGATAACTCTACATTAAATACATGTCCATGAACTTTTCTAAGCCTATTATTATAACATTTCATACCATCCCACCATTTGCTTGGCTGGGAGTCCAATAAAGAGAGAACTCATGAGTCCAAGACATGTTGCAATCTGAGTTAGGCTCCCAAAAGTACCCCTTACAGCTGCAGGTGAGACCTATAAATGCGAATGGGTTTTTTTGGCAAGTTTTTAAGAAACTGAAAAGACCTCTATTGAAAAATAACATGATCTCGTAGTGTACCTCAGCCACATAAAGAGCCGCAAGAGGTGAGCCAAGTCCCATTCCAGTTCTAACAAATAACCTTCCCAAAAGCATACCCCAAAGGCTTTTTGCTGTTGCACTGTAAAAGTTGTAAATAATAAGTTCATAGCTTTATCTGGAGTTTTATATTAGACAAGCATTGTGGAGAAGGAAGACATTAATTTTAAATCAAGACTAAATATCTGTTTTTGGTTCGCAAATTTTACGATGTCTGCTTTAGTCTTTAGCAAATAAAAAAATTATTTATGGTTCCTAAAAAATTCAAAATAGACCCGTTTAGTTGAAATCGTGATCCCTCACAAATTTTAAAAAAAAAATCACATTAGTCCTTCAAAAGGACAAAAATGGGTCCACTTTTAATTTCTTAGGAATCACGAATAACTTTTTTATTTGCTAGGGACTAAAACGGATATCGTAAAATTTGCTGAGAACCGAAAATGATATTTACTCTTAAAAAAATAGCAGTGGAATATAGAAAATGGGATAAACTTTTCTTATTTTACAGAAATTAAAAATTTATCTCCTAGTGAAACAAAATGATGGGACCATCGATTTAAAATAAAAATAAAAAATAAAAACAAATTTGACACATAACTTGATGTATCTACAGGAAAAACATCTTCTAGTATATGGACGGAGAAAATCATTGCCCATAGAAAATAGGGTTTGGTGTTTGTCATTTTAAATGACATAAGTTATGTCATTTTAGGAGAGAGAGATAGACACATAAAATGAAAATCATGGGAGAGAGAGAGAGTGGGTGGTTTTTTTAATTTAAAATTTTAAAATAATTCTGTGTCTATATCTCTCTTAAAATGACAAACACTTTTCCCTTGAAAATATATGGAAAAGCAGAAAAAGTTTTTCTGCCAGGCCCACACAATACTGAATGGATTTCATTAAAAAAAATTTCTCTCAACTATTTATGATGGGATTCATTTATTTTTAGAGTTCGCTTTTTCTGCAGTTACTGCAAATAAGTTATATACAGTAAGTTCAATACGACGTCATTTTGAAGCGAAAATTATGGTGATTTTGTAATTTTAATTTATTTCAAAGTTATTATAGTCTTTATAATTATAATTTTTTATATTTCAATCCCAAAATGACGTCGTTTTGGAAGTAAATGCAGATGACTTATCTGGAATAACTGCAGAAATATTTTCCTGTTATTTTTATATGATTATGATAAAAATAAATTATACAATAAAAGCAAAAACATTAAATCCAAAATATATATGGGAAAAGTGTTTCATTTTTTTATGGTTAAATGTGTATCATTTTAAATAACGTAAGTTGTGTCATTTCATAAATACAAAAATCTTATAGATTTTAAAAGACAATATAAAATTGTAGTGATTTTAAAGACTTTTTAAAAGATTTTTTTTACAATCAAATTTTTTGGATTTTAAAAGATTTTAATAGAATTTATAAGATTTGGAAGGACAATATGAATTTATAAGATTTTAAAAAATATATGAAAGGTTTTAACAAACATTCAAAATTACAAGAGTCAATAAAAATATAAAGAAATGCAATGATATTAATAAAAAGTAAAATCTAATATAATTTTTTTAATTTGATGTAATTTGATTTCCTATTAAACTCTTGCTCTTTACATATCTATTCTAAGCTATGTATATATGATTATAAGATGCAAAAAAAATTTATTTATTAAAATAATTCAAAATTTGCATAGAGAATCTAAAGTTCATGATAAAATTTCGTTTACATTTTTTTGTTATTGATCTTGGAAACCTTGGTGTTTTTATTCTACGTTATGAGAGTTTTCTAACTATATATCATATGCATATTTTCATTGAATATTCTAAGAAAATTTCAATCTGAATTTCTGGGTTTTGTTACATGAATGTTTAGAAAATTTCTCAAATTATTTTCAATTGATACATTGAAACCTTAAATTGATTTGAGGCTTTTGAAAAGTAAATTTTTAGTGATCTATTGACACAAAAATTGTTTGAAATTTTTTCCTATAGCAAAGGAATTTCGTTCATGAATGTATTGTTACGAAACATAGAGTTCATATTCTGAAAGTTTCAATCTTTCTTTAAATCGATCTCATTTCATCATGTGTAAAACAAAATTGGTTTGGGTTTTTTTTGTTCCCCTATTATTTTTCTAGTGTTTTATTTTTTTTAATACAAAATTCACATATTTTTGTGTCAAGAAAAATCGCGACCCATATAGTTAAAAAAATCACTTTTTAAACTTTCAAAAGCTCTCAAAAATCGCTAAAAAATATGCTAATTTTGATATGGATTATATTAGAATCTTGTTGGATTGTTGTTTTTGGGTTGTTTTGTGATGAAAATCGCTCAAAAATCTATTATTTTTGAGTTTTGACGAAACTCCTATAGTGAAACCCAATTTTGAGTGAGTCGACCCGCCAAAGGAATAAGAAGTATTGCAATAGAGAAATCTCAAGAAATCTTAGGGTTTATGGTGAGATTGTGAGAGAGACATCCTATTCATACTTCTTATTAAAAAGCCACACGAAATCCACACCAATAGAAAATTCACTAAAATCGTTAGATTTTTGAATACCACAATATTGTTTTTTCTTTGTTTAAAATTCTTATTGAATACCACCTGATTTGGACGGACTCTAAAAATAATCTTTTAAAATCCTAATCGAATACCACGTAACTTTTTTTCAATCCTTTAAAATCCTAAGTGAATATCGATGGATTTTTTTGTTCTAAAATAATCCATTAAAATCGTTTAAAATCTCAATTCAGTACACCCCATAGACAGAAAGAGGTGTGAGTACCACAAAAAAAAAATAAAGACGTGAATCCTACCTTTTTGTATCTATAAAATGACACAACTTGTGTCACACTCTTCCCAATATACATACATAAAAAAGAATAGATAAAAGAGTTTAATGTTTAATTTGAACAATGGAAACTCTTTTTAAACATACAATCATCACTATTTTTTAATCTTCTCTCGTGCACTCTCCCTCTTTTTATGGTTTTAATTTTTATCAGCTGTTTTATGCAGAAAAATATCATGTACCAGGTAGACATTAAATTGAAAACAATTAGCTGAACAAATGTAACTATAAAGAAGAGATGATGAGGTAAGGGGCTCACCGTCAGTCCATTATATTATCGTGATAATTATTAGAGTTGTAAAATGATTTTCTCAAAAAATTTATACTTTTCCTGATTCAGATCTGAGTTTTATTTACAAAAACATCTATCAAAACTAACTTGAAAAAAAAAAACAGAAACAAATATAAGTCAGGCAATAGAAAAGCTCAGCTTGAACGTACAGTAAGAGATTGTCTGAACGGATCTTGAAGCCTCACAACTTAACCCATGATTTAAGTAACAGGATTTAAGCAAATGATCAACAGTAAAAATAAAAGAGAATTTCTACCGCCAATTTATCATGGAACAAATTCAATGATGATCAAAAGTTAACTTTTTCTGAAAATGGCATGAATTCGCAGTAGTGGAACCAATTAGAAGAAAATTATCCTCCTTCCAAGGAAAAACATACTTTTTAGGTTATATATTGTTAGTAAACACTAAACAGCATAGCTTTTGCACTTTCTTTTTTAGACACAAAACCTGCATTTTAATGCACAAGGTAGCAAGGTAATACAGATATTGAAGACAGGAATATATTTGTGCCTAATGATGGTAATACCTCATTGATGCCCCAATGATCATAGGCAAAGCACACAACTGGAAACCCCTTCTATGCCCAACTCCATCTGCAATCCACCCACAGAACAGAGATCCAACAAAACCACCTCCTAGACATGTGCTTACTACAAGACCTTCATCAACAAAAGCATGAAATAAAATTTGATAAATTTGTAGACATATATAAAATATTATTAATAGTTTTAGTGTCAATCAGACGAAGCACCTTCAGCCATGGTATTCCCACTAAAGCCAAGATCAATGGAAATACTCTCTAAGGTTTCATTGACTACTCTGCATTAGCAATAAGGAATTTGATTTATTTCTTACTGACACAAGAAGATAGAATCTGGATCAAGCTTCACAGTAGAAGAACATACCCAAGATGGTAACCAAATAAGAATGAAGAAAGAGAAGCCACTAGTACATGCCCCAACGAACGCCGCCATGAAGCTTTGCCATTCAGTAAACGTACTGAAGCCATGAACAATGAAATTCCTCTATCAGTGACATCATTAAAAAGGATTTTCTCCAACTGGGTTATTTAACAAAAAAGGAAAAAAGAGATAAAGAAAGGAAAAAGTGTTCTGATGTGTGTATATCACTGTCTGCACAATTTTTCTTTGCTATTTCAAACCAAAACTCACAAGTTCAGAAAGGAAATCGATTGTGAAAAATATACTCAATGCTTTTAAGCACAATCTGGAAACCAATAATCAATGCAATGCAACTACTTTATAAGAACAAAATAATACTTGTATTTTCCCGTTTATCAGAGTCAGGTATTTGTTCCCTGGATGCCACTCGCTTGTAAGGATCAAAATGAAGAGAGTAGCTTTCCGCAGACTGCAACAACAAACAGATATCAATGAATTCATCAGTCACCAATTTCAACAACAGAATTTCAAAACATTTGTCAGATCAGATCTGACACTACTCCATAACTTGATTTTCTTTTTTACTTGCATGGCAAGAAAACAGGGAAATTTCACAATGATTTTGTAAAAGCATTGGTTTTCCGAAAATCTCACCATTTTTTTTTAGAGAAACAGAAATGAAGAAGCTTTCTATCAGTACTATAATTGTAGAATCACAAAAATAAATACAGGAACTGCAAATGCGTTCATACATCATATTTATAAGTATAGAGATAGAAGAACGTGATGGGGACTTTGAATGGCGTTGAAAATGCATGGCTGAACAAAAAGCGATAACATTGAATCCGAAAGCAGCTGAGAAAGTGAGGGGTACTTCCACCCTTGGCACACAGTTCACATTGGAAGAAGAGAGAATTATCTTGTGGATTTGCGTGCTTCTTAAGCTTCCGTTCCTTCTCCAACTGTTTTTTCCACTGCTGGCAGTTAATAGTTGTCGGGGTAGTTCATCACACCATGCCACGTGTCAGTATGTCACGTAATCTTTGGGTGGTCAATAATACTTTTTTTTTTTTTTTTTTTTTGTAATAGTGGTCAATAATACTTTGTAACAAAGCGAACACTAAGTTTGTGCCAAAATAAAAAAAGGAAAATGAATTGCTTCTTCTTCTTTCACGAGGATGGTTAGTTGTACTATATTATTATGATTTATGAATGAGTTACTAATAAATCTTAATGCCTATAAATCACTAAATTAATTCCTAAAACAAAGATGATAACGGATTACAAGACCACACAGGGTCTACTTAAAATGTGATTCATGGTCTTAATCTGTTTATTTCTCTTGCATTGAATTCCTTTTAGGACGAATACCATAAATCAGTAACAATGACATTAATCAACACGTTTCAGAGAGAGATAGGTCATGAGTCTGTATGAAAACAATTTATTTATTTTTCCTGATATTTTATACGAATATTTGATGGCGATAGGCGATAGCCCTTAATTTGCAACCAGTTCGTTCGTAAAAGACTGCGAAATCCATTCACAAATAAATACCATTTGAGCAGAGTAACTAACACATTCCACGTCAGCAGGTGATGATAAAGCAATGGATGATAAAGACTCACGTGTTTAGCAAAGCTGGGAATAAAGCTTCGGTTGATTCTGTTATTTATCCAACGAACCATGACAGATCAGCAAACTGTTAGTTAGAGATTTGTTAAGGCTTAGTTATTCAGTTAGCAATTTCTCTTGTAATCTTTCTTTTACCTTTTCTTGATATATATATATATATATATATATATTTGTACGATTCCTCAGTTAGTAATGCAATTCATTTAAGCCAATTCATAGTTTATCAAGAGTAACTATGAAAATATATCAAATAGATTGTCATTTTTTATAGCTAAATGCACAAACTTATTTGCAAGAAAAACGCATAACATGGTCACAGATTCAAAGGAATATATATTTCGTTTATTTGGAACATCACACACACTCGCAAAAATCCGTATATTGTTAACTATCCTAGTAAGAAGATTCTTTTGGATCTTTCGAGGTTTGAATGTGGCATAAAGAGACGGACTATACAACATACCCTTAGTCATGATGCAAATCATATTTAACAAGGGTGAATATCCATATCTGTTGCCCAGAGTCCAGACAAACAAAAGATGAATCTTTCCATAAAGAGCCTGAAGGAATCATTCTCCATAGACCAAATGCACCAATCTTCAATACTATTACTGTGCCAATTGACATCGCACAGGTCAGAGACATGGCCATCTCAAACAGTAGCTAGACACTACCTTTTCGGCCCCTTCTTCGGCCAAATTAAGTGTTACCTATTGATGAACCCATTATCTGGATCTGTAAAAAGATATTGCAAGGTTAGAAATCCAAAATTACAGAAAAGAAAAGGATAAGCATTATGAGAAGAAGTGAGGAAAAAGAAAACTGGGGCATCTAAGGAGCAAAAGATCCTGCTTAAAATACCTTATTCACAAGCAAGTTGACTTGTTCTCTGTACATTTCCTTCAAGTCTACGATATCGGCACGAAGTTCCTCCAGCTAAACACATTAAACTCCTTTTAGATACAAAATAGAAAACTTTTCTATTAAAAAAATAAACAAATAAAAGGAAACAGAACAGTTGCGACGCCTCAAAAGTCTGCGGCCTTAGTATAGCTACAGCCCTAGACATTATTTTCTTTTCTCTTTTGCCCCTTCTTGTATTTGGGGCCTAGCGTGTCTAATATTTTTATTTCAATTGATTTCTCATATTTTCTGGAAGGAAGAGAGAATTTTGCTGTGTCATGCTCTTCTCTGGGCTCTGAATTATTTCAAAAAGAAGACAATTTATAAGGTGAAGAAGAGTGAGTTCCTCTACAAGTTCATAGGATTTCATTGACTTTCCATCAGCTGAACACCAAATTGTGTCTAAGATATTGTTTCCAAGAAAGCAAAGGCTGACAAAGTGAAAATTACCTCTTCATCACGTTCGCCCATCAGCTCCAAAGCAGCAGAATGCCTCCTCCTCAGTGCTTCTAGCTCTGACCGTAAGCCGGGTAATACAGCAGCCTCCCCTCGCAATTTTTCACACTGCAGTGTCAATATGCAATTCATGGTTAATGGCAATGAAGGGATCAGTAAGTAGTAAATAGGCCACTGAACTCACCTGTTCTGTCATTTGAACCAACTCCTCAGCAAGAGAATCACGAATAGATTCCAGTGATGCCTGGAATTTTTATAATTAAAAAATAAAATAAAATAAAATATATCATCATTGTACCCCCAAAATAAAAATGTCATCCACGATCACTGTCCTATGATCTAACAGCTTAATATGAATTTTATTCTTATTCATTATGATAAGTTCCCAATCACAAGAGAAACAATAGAGAAATGAAATGGAAGGTATGGTGCCAAACATTAAGCCAGGGAATGAAGGCAACAAATCATACCAAACGTGACATATATGAAGCTAGTTCACCCTCCTTCTGACGAAGTGCAGCTTCTAAAGAATTGGACGTCATGCTCTTCATGTAGTAAGGACTCATGCTTAGTTCTCCAGGATTTCTCCTCTCAGAAAAACTGTCAGATGAGTCCAATGATGCTTGCAGAAAGTGGCTTTCTTCCAAGCTTGCCAGGGAGCTTGCACTAGAGACTTTCCGAGACAGGTTCCCTACATCATAAAGAATATTATAGAAAACATCATAGACAACTCAGACATGTGATGTAAAGAGAAGAGTTTCGCACCATTCTCAAAAGAAGAAGTTAGCTTTGTTGTGGGAGTTTGATCTGATAATGGATTAGAATGAACACGAATAGTCTTCTCCAGATCTGATCGAGCAGCCTTTTCTTTTTCTATCTCCTGGCAAAATTGAAGAGATTAATTCAGGAACTTGAAAAACAAAAATCACAAAGGTTCTCACAAGATGGATGGAATTTAATATTGTTACAAGCAATAAAATACCTCATCAAATTTGGTTTTCATTTTTTATACATGGTTTTTGTTCCATACAATTGCCCAAGTATTCTGCATCCGCTCACTAACATTTGTTCTATTCCAATTTCCAAAAATCCACATAATGTTGAAAAGTCCATAACAAAAGCAAGTTGGCTTTCTTTTGTAACTTTGTCAGAAAAAATATGCAGCATGAAACCAAATATCTCTCTTTGCTCAGTTCATTCCATTACACAAATAATATGAGAAACGAAAAAGAAATTTAATGGAAGAAGAAACCAAAAGCTTCATGTAACATGGTTAACAAAGCTAACTTTGAAATCCAGAAGCAGAAGCTCTACCTGCTGAAGAAGCTCCCGATGCATCAATGCCTCATGTAACTCTTGCTTGTACTTCTGCCTAATGTCTCTAATCTCTTCCTCAAGCTGTCTCACACGACCTTCTTGAGTGTCAGCTTCCTCCTTTGCTGCAAGATATTCCTGCCTACTTTCAGCTGCTCTTTGTCTCTCCTTTTCAAGGGTCCTACTTAATTGGGTCTGTTCTGCCCTAAGACATGAAATCTGCAATTCATTGTTAAAGTAAGTCACACATACTCAGAACTGCCATTAAAGAAATGATTTCACTCAGGAATTTGCAAAACCTGAGCCTCAAGGACATTAATTCGAGACAAGGTTTGAGATAAGCGCTCATTCACAGATCTCTCTCTTTCCTCAGAAGTTGCAGCTTTAGCCTCTGCTTCCTGTAGAATCAATAAGAAGAGATAAAGAAATACAATAATATCCAGTGGGAGTTTTCTAAATTTAAATTCAAATAAGTATTATAGAGACCTGAAGTCGAGAATTGAGAGATCTTTCTACAGCAGCCCAAGCTTCAGCTCTTCTGGCATTTGTTTCCTGTTATCAGGCGAATTATAGTCTGGTACAGATCCCATGCAGCAGAACATAAAACAGAAGCAAAAGCAATATTGGATCATATGTCTATTAACCTGCATGGCTTCAATTTGCCTTAAGAGCGGCCTTGTGGATTCTGGAACTTGCGTAATCAGTTCCTCACACCGTCTTTCACTTGCCTAGAGAAAATAAACCAATAAGCAAAAATTACCAAAAGCATAAATAAAGTTGCTAAATCTTAAAACAAGGAAAAGCAACATCCTCAGAAAGTTAAATAACTAAAGGGCAAGCAGAGAGCAAGGGAGCACACCTGGTAACGTTTTTGAAGATCCTCAATGTCTTTGAGAAGCATGTCTTCTTTGAAGACCGCCTGAATATGTACGAAGAAAACATTAAAACTTACAAGCAATGCTTTGAGAAAGTCAACTTAGTAACAAGATGATCAGAAAATACTAAAAAAAATTAAAAAAATCACAAAAAAACCTGTTGTTCCTTTCTACTTAATGTTTGCCTCAATTCTTCGAGCGCCTGGACTAGCATAGATTCACGTTCCTCAGCTTCTCTTAGACGACTCTCTAGCTCCGTTCTTGCTTCATTGTTGGCACGTGTCTCTGCTAATGCTTCAGCCTCCTTAGCAGCAGCCAAAGCATTAGTATAATATTCTTTCTGTTCTGCAAGTTCTGTTTGATTTTTTTCTATTGTTTCTTGCAACAACTTCTCTGTTGCTGTCTTGTCCCTCTTGATACTTTCTACTTTATTCTCTTCTATCTGTCATTACATGACATTAACCAAACAGCAGCTTCAGTTAGAAGTAATAATAAATATGAGGATTGTCAATACATTTTGTTCCAAAAAGAATTTGACACCTTCAAATGATATATAGGATTGTCCATGGTAGTACATAATAATAAATCACAAATTACCCTTTAAACTTAAAAGCAATATGACATAATTACAAGCAGTAAGACGGGTTTTTTTAATCAAACTACATAATGAAGAAGATCTTTTGCAAAGAGATAAACAACCTGGGCAAGTGAACTCAAAGAGCAAAGATGAAGGTAAAACAGTACAGTACAATTTATACTGCATGAAATTTCTGCTTCCCAGATTGCATGATTAGTGAAGACAATTATTTCAAAGAAGTTACCAGCAAATAACAACCTTCAGTAGTGCTTTCGGAATTGCATTACCTGAAGTTTAGTAGTCAAACCTTTCTTCTCCTCCTCAAGATCTCTAATCTAGCTTTCATAAAAAAAGTAAGTAAAAGATTTATTACAATATGTAGGCATATAAAAGGATTTAAGGTTGTGGGAAAATACAATAAGTAGTCTGCAAACCTGAGCCCTTAGTTTCCTAATAGTAGATTCTTGAGCGGCCTGCTTTTTGGAAAGCTCTTCACCTGAGATGAGGGACAGTCTAACATGAAAAAAGGCCTCTATAATCTCCAGTAATTAAAAAGTTACCATGCTTCCATGGGGAAACTTTTTAATTACAACAGAAACACTCTTCAGATGAAATTATTCATTTTCCAACCAAACCAAAGAATAGTAGCAGTTTACGCACAAATTTTATAATGCAACATCAGCCTTCCTCAATTCAACCCCCTCTTCTCTCCTACAGACATTGTTCAATCCTTTCCACCAAGCCTACATGATTGTTGGAGTATGCCTAAGATGTCCATTTAAAGGGAATTATAAAACCTCTTAAGCGTAAATTTCAAACCATGTCTATCTGTCTAGACCTCACTTTCCAATTCCAATCTTGAAAACACTAAATTAGCAGCCACAACAATTGCATTAATTAAATACTTTAACCTCTCTCAACTGTCTAAAGGGAAAAAACAGCAAGCATGATACATCTAGCTACAACCTTGTCCTTGCCAACATTGTCAAACATTCTATGCCATGGTGGTCAATGGCTGCCTAGATATGTGCTATGAAGAACCAAGGTTACATCAAACTATGCATTAATGGAAGCACTTTCAACAGAACCAGTAAAAACCCAAGTAGCATTCTGAAGACCCCAACAACTAGAAGCCATATAATCTGACATGATCTAGAAACCAGATATTATAAGAATGGTTTATTGACATCTCTACGCTACCTTCTGCCATAACTTGATTAATTATTTCATCCTTTTCCTTCAAGAGAGCAGCTGCATCACTTTTTTTATTCTGTTCTCGGCGAAGAGTATCCCTTTCCTTAGTGAGAGCATAAACCTGCAATTAAACACACAAAATGAATAAAATACTGTAACAGTTGTAGATCGAACTAATAATCCTCTTTGATAAATCACCTTCTTCAAAAACCTACATGAATTTCTAACACCAATCTCCAATGCTTAAGATGATGCTCATGTTCTGTAATATTAAAATTATTATACATTCACTGTGCTTTGATAGGAATCTCATCTTTATCATATGCACTGATATTGCAAGAATTTGATTGGTACACCTTCCTTCACTGACAAAATGGACAGAGCATAAAAGAATGAAAGAATAAACAAATAATATTGCATTAACTCTGCAATTCATTTGTGCCATACTACGTTGGTTTCTATGGCAAAACAGTCAACCAGAACTTCAGTTTACAGATTAAAAAAACTACACACAACTTTTGAACTATGCATGTGTACATTATTGACAACTTTGTTAGTAAAGCACAAAAAGTAAATAAGATTTAAGACAGGTGATACCTTTCTTTCGAGAGTTGCAACCCTCTGATGATATTCCTCTCGCAAAGACTCAATTTCTGCCTCATTGGATTTTCTCTGTTCCACAATTACCAGCAATTAAATATAAATATTTCAAAGGAAGGGTGACAGCAGGATAGTGAGAAACACATGATAAAATGAGAACAGTGACACATGCTAATTAGTTTAAAAAAACACCAACGGATTTTCATAGGAAGATGTATGAAGGAAAACCAACATTATAGTATACAGCAACAACATCAACAAGACCTTTATCAAATCAGAAATATCATAACATGATAGACAGTGTGACGTTGTCACAAGGACAACATCTACACAATACATGTAAAAAGTCATCTTCAATAAATGTTTCATACAACTAGAACTTGCACGTGCTGAATCAAGAAGATAAAGCCAATAAATTCCTAAAAATCATATATATATATATATATATATATTTTAAAGTGCGTATACTGCACCACATCATCTATCATTGACACATAAGCATCCTTCAGCTCATTTTTTTTCATAACATTAGTTAATATCTCATTTAAGTTAGTCATATATAATCAATTTGTTGTATCCATAATGCCAAATCATGTCTTGGAAAGGGCAAATAGGATCATTGGTTAGCTTCTGATGTGACATAGGCAATAATCATCACTTTAAATGTTTAATAGACAGATGTGAATGCATAGATGAAATCAGAAAGACTGAAAACATTCACGATCTGAAGGTAACAATAAAAAAACTGAGTATTAAGTAAAAACGTGCCACAAACTACAAGGTATTAAAAAATAAATATACCTTGAAATCCTCAATCACAGCTTTAAATTGTTCATTTTCATTCATCAATTTTGCAATCTCATCAGCTTTAGCCTGCAAAGAGAACAAAGATTATAAAATTGCAATAAGATATGCAATTTATAATGGCCCCAAATAAGACACATAGAAGATAAAGAATGAGCAGCATAATTAGACAAAACATGCAGCTTCTTGAACATAGTGAGACATTAAAATAACACCAAAATCAAATGATTTTTAAACGTTTAAGGAGATCACAAGATGTTAGCTGGTTATAGATGAAGAAGAGAGATATAATGGAAAAATAAAACATTTAGAACAAAGTGAATCAGAAAGTTAACTAATTTCACCAAATTATTTTCATGATCTTTGTCTAACGTACAAGAAGCCAGGAACCTCAAACCCTTAGGCCTTAACCAAAAAAAAAAGGACAATGGGCCAAGAAAAAATTTCTTAATCATAGCAAAGCCTATCTAGAGACCATGTGATCTTCATCATAGTTTCCATGCTCAAAGAATAACAAGATCGAAGTCCTGAATTGTCTTTCCATCTGGGCACTTACAACATAAAAGTGAATGTGCAAGCAAAAGCCTTTGTTGCTGATACTAAAAAAGAAATAATTTGTTATGTACACTTCTCAATCAGTCCAAAATGGAGCAAGAAAACATATTTACAGCAAAGTGAATTCCAAACTTAACTATTTTTACACCGCTTAAAAATCTTCACGATACTGTTTGGGAGGTCTCAACCAAGAAGAAAAGTACAACAGGCCAAGAACAACTTACTGATAACAAAGACTACCTAGAGATCATGTGAACTTAGTTTTCATGCTAAAATAAAATAAAATAAAATTATTTGAACCCTACATTGTTTTTTCATCTGAGCACATATAACAAAATTGAATGTTCATACCAAAGTTTTTTTTGCTGCTACAATTACGTGCAGTAAATGAAATACCTGAGCTTGTCTTGCAGCACCTTGTAGTGCAGCTTCCATCATTTTCAACTCCCTCTTCACCCTCTCCAGTTCAAGCATGGATTCTGAGTCAGACATATTTCTTCTCAAATGCTGCTCTTTCATGTTAGTTTCAACATCATCGGCAAAGTGGTCCCTTTCATTTTTTTGAGCAGTTGTTTCATTTTCATGCAAAACCAATTCAGATACCACCTCAAAAGATTCATTTGGTGGAGGATCAGGGGACAAATGTTCATTATATGATTGATCAATGCTATTGATTTCCTCAGAAGTCACAGACTGTAGAACAGAAGTGTCAATCTCATCTCTTTTCTCGCTATCACCTGATGCTTCAGGTTGAACATAAGAGATTCTCTCCACACTTTCTTCTGCTTGCACCTCCTTTTCTTCTTTACTCTCCTGAGTCTCCTCCTTTGTCTCGACTTGAAAATTTTCATGCACATCATTAACACCATGTGACTCGCCAGGCTCACTGGTACTACCCTCAACTACCTTGTCCCCAAGATTAGAAGGCATGGGTTGCATTGACACTGAACTTTCAGATGTTCCCACTTCAGCAATCTCTTTCTCTTGAGGAATGTCAACAGAATCCGAACTCTCAAACTTCTGAATGGGGGATTCAGGCAATTCAACAGGCATCTCAGGTAACTGGTGTTCTTCCTTTCCATGGTCCCAATTCTGTGCAGTTGTTCCATCTGCTGACTCTGTATGCTCACCATCTTCTTCTCCCTTGAGCACTTTATTGTCTTCTTGAACAGTGGTTTCTTCAGCTTCGATGTGGACCGTGTTATCAGTTTGAAAGCCTTCTTTTCCCTCAGCCACAGGTATATGGTCCAGAGCCTCAGGCTTTTCCTGTGACTTCTCAGTTTCAGATTCTTGTTGAGAGGACTCAACTTTTTCCGATGTCTCATCCCTAGTTTCCTCACTTGTGTTCCCCATAAAGGCCAAAACAGGATTAAATAGGGCTTTCCTGTCAGTGGGAATAGGCCATGATCCTGCAGCTGAAATACAACAAAAGGGAAAAAGTCTAATCAGTGTGAAAACTCCCCACCAAGAGAACATCCATCCCATCCAACAATTCAAAACTCCTATATTTCAGCAGTTAATGGAACTTGCGTCCACCTCAATCATAGAAATTCACATATGATAGAGAAATCCATTCAGAAAACAAAGAGAAGTGATAGGAACTTTAATTAATTACCTTCATTGCTGGATTCAGACCTCTCTTCGAATCCCAGAGCATTATCGAAATTCTTCTCAATATTCTTCACACTCTCCTGAAGCTTATTCACAGCTCCCGTCAAATCAGGGAAGTTGCCCCATGTATTTTTCCCACTAAACCATGCCATCTCCGAACCTACAAATCAAAATAAAGTCGACCCCTGATGCACATTACCTATTCAGAACGCACCCATGTCCTCTGAATTCCTACTCTACTCGAATTTCAGATCCCAGAAACCCATGAACAATACAACAACAGATAAATTAAAAAGTAAAAAGAAAAGACGATTGAATTTATTTGAGTTATGCATCTAAAAAGCAATTCATAATGCCAAAAAATAAATGCGAGATAAATCTGAAATCGGATAATACTAAAGGAAGAGATCAATGCAGAGGGAGTGAATTGGAGAAGGTATAAGATGAATAGTGAAAGACGCGGACCTTAACGAATGCGTCGGATCCAGAATCAAATCATGGTTTTACAACTGGTTGAGTTCACAGTTGAATTATCAAGTTTAACCTACAAATGAATCATTGAAAAGAGGACAAAAGAAAAAGTTTGTCGGTGAAAAAGGTGTTGAATCAAATAAAAATGAAATTTGCGTGTGTTATTGGAAAGAAGAAAGTGGCTTTGCGGGAACGCGGGAATTAGAGGTTCGATTTGATGAGCTCTGCAAAACTATTACTATGCGAGGGATGATGGATCTCGATTCTAATGTTTTCCTTCCCCACGTTAGGGACGAACGCAACGCTGTCGTTTCAATGTCTTATTATCTTCTCTTTTCTTTTTCCTTTTTTTAATTATTTTGGTGAATTTGTAGAGAATTTCTACTTTCTGTTTTCTGTTTTGGTGATACGTCAGTTTTTACATATTATGTTCATTTTGTTACGAACGATGACAGTCACTCTGTCAGATTCTAATGTTACACTTGAACCATAATTCTTAGGGGTGTATTAGATTTACATTTTAAAGGATTTTAATTGATTGTTTTTAAACAAAAAAATTTGTTGATATTCGAATTAGGATTTTAATGGATTGAAAAAAAGCACGTGGTATTCGATTAGGATTTTAAAGGATTATTTTAGAATTCGTCCAAATTCGAAATTTATTCGATCATGATTTTATAGATAATGGAATCACAATCTCGTGGTGTTCAAAAATCCGACGATTTTAATTGATTTTCTATTGGTGTAAATTTCGTGAGACTTTCTAGTAAAAAAATATAAATAGGATGTCTTTTTCACAATCTCACTCTAATCCGTAGGATTTCTTGAGATTCTTCTACTAGTGCACAGTGTTTTTTTGCTTGATTGACTGCTCGAAATTGGGTTCTGCAACGGGAGCTTCCTCAAAATTAAAAAAAAAAACATATTTTTGAGCGATTTTCATCGTAAAACAACCCAGAAACAACGAACCAACGAGATTTTAATATAATCTATTTCAAAAATAACATATTTTTTAGCCATTTTTGAGAAATTTTAGAAGTTTAAAAAGTGATTTTTCAATCTATGGGTTGCGATTTTACTTGGCACAAAAACGTGTGATTTTTTAATTAAAACACATAAAACAGTAAAACAATAATAGGGAACTAAAACCCTCAAACCAATTTTCGTTTTACATCAATGAAACAATATCAATTTAAAGAAAGATTGAAACTATCATAATATGAACAATGTATTTTGTAACTATATATTCATTAACAAAATTCCTTCACTATAGGAAACGATTTCAAACAATTTTTTTTTTTTTTTTTTTTGATAACAGAAACAATTTTTGTGTCAATAGATAACTAAAAGCTTATTTCTTAAAAGCCCCAAATTTCAATGTATCGATTGAAAAAAATTTGAGAAATTTTCTAAAATTTCATGTAATTAAACCCAAAATTTCATATTCAAAATTTTCTTAGAATATTCAATGGAAAATATGCATATGATATATGGTTAGAAAATTCTCATCACGTAAAACAAAACCCCCAAGGTTTTCAAGATCAATTAGAAAAAATTTCAAACGAAATTTTATCATGAACTTTAGGTTCTATATGCAAATTTAGAATTATTTTTATAATTAAAAAAAAAATTGGGTCTTATAATCATATATGCATAGCTTTGATACCAAATGAAGAAGATAATTTTTAACCCTTGAGATATTTGAAAAGCTGTTGTTTAGTAATTTTGAATGTTTGTTAAAAATTATATTATGTTTTATTGATTGAGAAAAGTATATTATGTTTTACTTTTTTTTAATTTCATTGCATTTCTTTGTTATTTTTTTTAAGGGAAAAATTATACTTACAATACAACCTATTTTTTGTTTACAACATTCTACAATCATATCTTAACCGTTGATTTCCGTCAATCAACGATTATTATTTTCGCAAATCAAACTCATTAATTAATATTTAATTTGCAATGAATGATAACCGTTGATTGACAAAAATTACAGTTAAGATATGATCGTAAAATATTGTAAACAAAAATAGGTTGTAATTATAACCTTTTCCTTTTTTCATTGACTCTTGTAATTTTGAATGTTTGTTAAAAATTCATATGATTTTTTAAAATCTTATAAATTCATATTGTCCTTTCAAATCTTATAAATTCTATTAAAATTCAATCTTATGAAATCTTGATTGTAAAAAAAGTTTTTTAAACAAGTTCTCTCCAATTCTAAATAGTCTTTTAAAATCTATAAGTTTTTTTAGCTCAAAAAAGTCTTTTAAAATCCTAATCCAATATATCCCCTTAGGCCAAAATTAATAAATATTTACTGATGAATAAAAAACGAATGAATAATATGATCTAAAAAAACATTTACTGATGAATAATGTTTTAAAGAAAAAACTAAGGGAAAAGTTCATCAATGTCCATATGATTTGCTTCAGAATCATCTATGCCTCAGTGGTTTTTCTTTATCACATGCCTCTGTGTTTTGTAAAAAATAAAAAATCATATGGGCATATGTGATAAAAAAACATATTCTTTTGCAAATCACATGAACATATATCATAAAAAAAAATCACAGAAAAATAAGTGGTTTTTGAGTAAATCATAGGAAAATTGGTCAACTTTTCCCAAAACTAATTATCATTAATGTAACACTGACTTTGCCTGTGAGCTTAAGCTTCATTTGGAGAGAAAAAAAATAAATAAAAAATAAAAAATCATTTTCAAAACTGAGGCTTTTCTATTAGCAAGGAGTAGAGAATTGGGGTATGAATATGAACTCGTTATTTTATGTTTAAATAGACTCGGATCATTTGGACAAAACTTCGATGACAGAGACTGTTGTGCATGTCACTTTACCTAACTAACTAGACCGAGTCTTCATCACCAATAATCACCACATGAACACATTCCATGTTTAAAATGATGATAGCGGTTAACGTCTCTCACAGTGATTTCCCTCTCGGTGATTTTTGATATGAACCTGATAGCAACATGGCAGTCCTCACAAATTCGGAGATTCTTTGTTATCAAAAGCCGGGTTCCTGGTGATGTACTTATGAGTCCAAATGCAATAGCTAGTCTTTCACTGTGACTGCACACCATATTTGTCTTCTCATCTTCCTCTACATCATGGAAAACGGATCCAGTATCTGGTACATATCCAGCTTCTAGCATTAGTCCTTCTAACCTCTTCAACTCTGCATATATTGCACCGGAATTTGGGTGTGAAACATCACCAGAAAGAAATGCATAGACTTTGTTCTTTACTTCAATCCAGCTACAAGCAATGTTTTTCTTTATTCCTTTATCTATCATTAACTGCCTCAACCTTGCAACTCCTTCCCACTTACCTGATTGAGCATACATGTTAGCCAAAATCACATAATTGCCAGAATCATCAGGCTCAAGCTCAATTAGTTTCTCTAAAGCTTCCTCTGCCAACCCCACATTCCCATGGATTTTGCATGAATTCAGCAGGGCACCCCATACACCAGAATCTGGCAGTACATTCATACGTCTTATAAGATCATATGCCTCATCCAGTTGACCACAGTGACCAAGGAGATCAACCATGCACGTGTAGTGTTGAACTGTAGGATTGATACAGTAATCCCTCACCATTATGTTATAGAATGCCCTGCCTTCATCTAGCAAACGCCCTCGGCTGCAAGCTGCCAGGACACCAACAAAGGTTATAAGATCTGGCTGAGCCTCTTTCCTCATTTTCTCAAACAAGTCCAAAGCTTCAATAGCAAGACCATGCATTGCATAACCAGTAATAATTGCATTCCAAGATACAACCCTTTTCTCCCTAAGCCTCTCAAACAAAATACGGGCAACTTTCACAGAACCACATTTTGCATACATATCTATCAAAGCAGTTTTGACCTTGTCATTGGATTGAAATCCATGTCTCCAACCAAATCCATGGATTTCCCTCCCTTGAGGAAGACAGGCAATGTCAGCTGAAGATGAAATCACAGTCACAAGGGTTGCCTCGGTGGGTCTTACGCCTGTTGCCGCCATCTCACGGCACAGAGAAAGTGATTCATCAGGGTGTCCATTTTGAGCAAAAGCTGCAAGCATGGAGTTCCATAACACAGCATCTCTTACACCAATTTTATTAAACACGTTACGGGCATCCACCACACAACCACACTTGGCATACATATCAATAAGAGCTGCACCTACAAACACATCCCTCTCCCAACCAGTTCGTATCACACACTCATGAATGCCCCTTCCCTCTCCAATTGCAGAAAGTGCTGAGCATGCTTTGAGAACAAATGGGAAAGTGAAATTATCGGGCTTGAGCCCATACTCAAGCATCTGGTGGTAGAGTGAAATGGCAGCCTCGTGGGGCCCATTCCACGCATAACCCCGAATCAAGACGTTCCACAGAAACAAATTCCCTTTGGGAATTCTGTCGAACAACTGATGGGCATCCCGAAGAGAGTTACAAACGCTGTAAAGATTTACAAATTTAGTGGCCAAATCTTGATTGTAAGCAATACCCAGTTGACACAATCGACCATGAAGCTGTTTACCGGGCCTTAATGCCTTGGCAGCTATACAAGACTGGAGTAGTGAAGCGTAATTGTAATTGGAAGGTGAAGGTGATGGTGATGGTGATGGAGGAAAGGAATCAACTTGGAGTTTACAAGTAAAAGCGTTCTGCTGAGGGTTTTGTTGTGTGGCAAATGAGTGGTACGAGACTTGAGGTTGGAAAAAAGATGGTGAAACAGGGAAGAGGTTCAAATAGAATGAGAGTATAGACAGGGTTCTTGAGGTTTCCTGTGTCTTCTTAATGTTATACAAAGACATTTGGTTTCTCATACAAAAAATAGAGGGTTCATGAATAAACCTAGCTTTCAAGTAGTAATGGTCAGGTACTGCGCTGCACAGACTGTGTAAGAGCTATTATGTGGATTATATTTTGGTTGATCACTTTTTTTATTGTTATTATTTTTTATAAACTCTCTTACTTACTGTATCCAAATTCAAATGCTCAAGGGTTCTTCATTACATTATGTTTAAGATTTCGATCAAATATATAAAAAAGCTCCAATATATGGATAGTTAGACAAAATAAAAAAAATTGGCACTTTCATTTAAGATAGTTAGATAGGTGTAAAGCGGCCCAGCCCAAGACCTGAAGCAAAGCATTCAAGCCCAAGAAAATAATATGAGTCATGGCCCAAAATTTCATGTAAAGGGAATTTATATTCTCGCCGAGTTATATGCTGCAAGGAATAAAAATTCTGACACTCCTACGTGTTTTTGGCAAATGCCAATGATATGATAGTCGAGAAAGAAAGTAGCTTTTAACGTTGCGGAGCTTTTTCCTTTTCTTTTTTCTTTGTTCAAAGTGCTGTCGTTTTGTTTCTATAATTTATGAAGCAATTGCGAGTTTGTGATTCCAAAAATAATAACCATACATTTCGCGATAAGTAAGGTTCAACAGCTTAGCCTTGTGGCGTTCTACTAATATATTTGATAAAATATGATTATTTATTTTATATCTTTCAGTTGTTGTTTCTTCTCACTAATCTGTTATTTTCAAACTCGTTGGCATTACATGTAGCTGTTATGTGGAGAACATTGTGAGGTGATGGCTCAGCTCAAATATTCTGTGTTTGGTAAATTGTTGTCCATATTCATGTCAACTGCTTAACTTAAAATGCATTTAAGGTCACCAGGTTTGAATCAGGTGGATCCAAAGCCATTCCAAATTGAATTGTTGACTTGTGATGTGCAATGGATAATTAAGGGAAAGGGAGATAGAAGAACAAGAGGAAGAAGTACACTGAGTACCGAGAAGGGATAAACAAAACTTTAGGAATATTCCAATTCTTAAATCAATTTTGTGTCTCCAATCAACTTGACACAGGACAAGTAGAGATGGGAGGTGTTTTGGATGGCTCATACCTTAGAGGCCAAGTAACACAAGCCCAAGCCCCCTCCCCATGTCCACGTTAGCCCTACTGATTAGGGACCACCAACCCTCTTCCTTCCTTTCTGTCCCCCAGGCGGCAGTATCCCTAAGGTGAGACACTAAAATATCTTATCTTGAGATATTTACTCTGCTGGAGGTTAACTCCAATCGACCCCGTAAATAGAAACTTCCCTTCCACAGAGGTGGCAGGCTGGCAGCAGTGGGATTTTTTTATTATAATCCCGGTGCACATTTTTTTAGATGCTCCTTTTCCAATAAAGGAATAATTTTCTTACATTTATATCCCTATCTTCTTTTTAAATTACCTCTCACTCCTTTTTTCTTTCCCTTTTTGGTTAAGGCTCACCAAGTCCCGGTCCACCATAAATAACCTCGCAGCAGTGACTGCCATCATCCTCGCAGCAGTGACTGCCATCATCCTCGCAGAGGCTGCACCGCTGGCACCACAGCAGCATCAACCACCCCTAGCACCCCCAAGGAGAGTTGACCCAGCTCACCTACCCACACAAAGTGGACACCTTCTCCTCCTATAAATACCTCTCCATCACTGGCAAAGGGGTATCTTATGTACTGTCAATTCCTATAAGTCCTGACTATCACAACACACACACTCACCCCCCCCCCCCCCATAAACTCGTGGTCCATACTCATACTTGGAACGGTACTGCCTAGCTTGGTCTCTATCTCTGCTAGTGGTAGCGTCCATACAGTGATTCTTATCCCTTCCAAGGAAACATATTGGGCTTACAGAACCCAACGCTACAGAAGGTCTATCTCTTAATCTCTTAATGTATGACCTCATTTTAAACAATGGCAGTGAGCAAATGAGCATTCATGACTAGTGTAGAAATACTCATCAATTCTCTTTAAAATACTGTGCTCCATGATTTCATTATAAATTATGCAAATGTGACAGTACTATTTGGTGTTAGCTTTTCATTTCAGTTGTATGAGACTCCATTTCATCTACCCTTCAAAGCTAACTGTCTCTCAAATTTGGGTGAAGAGGCTCAAAGTTTTATATTCACTAGAGTTTATATATGGTAAAATCTTTCTATAATGAGTGTGCTGAAACTAGACTGTCATGACATCCTTTATTTGACCAAATGCAAGCATCAAGGTGGATCTATATCAATCTGTTATGGATTTTGCGGTATATGTGACCTGTCAATTCCCTGAATTACGTGCCGTATTGGAATTTACAGGCTTAGCTTGGTTGTTAGATATTTCTAAAATTCTAATTACATAATATGTTGCTAGTCTTAGGCAATGCCAATTAGCATAAAGGAAAATGCTCATTGTGTTTAATTTGAGTGAATCGGTTCTTGTTTGTTTGATGTATGCAGGATGTATTTGGGAAGGAAGAGGGTGACTTGAATTGGTCATAAGAACTTTTTTCAATATATGTGAGGGATTCTGATGTTGTCTTGTCTATGAGGCTCCACAACTAGTGACTTAAGTCTATGTAGTTAAATTGATAATTGCTTGACATGGGGGTGGTGTGTGTTGTAAGGAGGCTAGGGTTTTTCATAAAGATACCTAAAATACTTAACCATTTATTCATAGTGGAATTTTACCCGAAGATGGATAAGACCAATTTTGCCTAGTTGGTCACGGTCCAGAACAAAATAGAATATGCAAGTGCTAGAAAACAAAGTTTCAGCTTGTCTGTCTGAGATAAATTAAGACTGGTCCCTTGATTCTGCTTTTAAAGTGGAAATTCTTTTTGAATACCTGCCTTGTGAAAGTTACCGTGAATTCAAATCATGAAAGGAACATGTTTAATTACCTCTTGACTTTCAGAGACAAGATGTTTATAATCAGGTGTTTTTGCAGCTGTTGACGATATGTGCTATGCAACCATGAATGGTCATTGATGGATAACGATGATGTTAAAGAATATAAAGTAGAGCATCAAAGTGTTTATCGTTGTTAGATATTGTAAGCAATATTGTACGTACATATAATTTATCTATAACATAATTTATAGCTATGCTTTTGTGCTGAGTATAAAGAACACTAGTGTATTTTCTTAGACCTTAGTCATAAAACCTTGCTTTCATTTTATTAATTAGCATCAAGGAAATATGAACAGTGCTCCCACAAGGGTAGCTAATGGTTTCTTCTTATCTTTCACTTGTTCAACTTGATTTATTTATTTATTTATTTTTCCTCTCTTCCTTGGCAGTCTCCCATATTTAAAGCCTGTTTCGACCTTTTTTGACCCAAAACTTATTTTACAAGAAACTGACAAAGCTTCAAAACAAAGAAAGCTAGATTCTCCTTTCCTGTGGGATTTTTGGTGTTTCTGTTGTTGCTTTCCTTAGTGGAGGAACAAAAAGGTGCATAAAATTTAAGATGAAAAAAAAAAACAAAAAAGATAAAGTGAAGAGGTGTGAAAGTAACCTCAAATCAATTAATGTTGTTCTGTATTAGGTTTGTGCTCGAATCATGTGATTGCTTCAAGCTATCTACCGTTCCTAACCACCAAAACAAGAAAATAAAACATTATGGCTTACATGGTTTGAATTGCAGATAAACATAATCATAACCCGCATGACACCAAAACTTTAACTATGGAATATGACAGCATATGTATCTGATCATAAATCGGCCTATAATTTATGTCATTCGTTGTTACAACATTAAATTTGATCCAGATTTATATCTTGGACAATCAATGGTAAAAAAGTAAGAAAAATATGGAGCTAGTGAACATCAGCATCATATATTTATTATTAAAGGATAGGTTCCTTTAAAATGAGTTTATTCGAGTAAGTAGACATATATTTATTATTAATTTTAAGCATATTATAATACTAAAATTTAAAAATAAATTTAATGTTACTTCTTTAGTTTAAAGTCATACTTATTTTGCAAAGAGATTTTACGCTTATGAAATAACTTTCATCCGTTGTTTAACGTTCCCCACCATACCTGCCACGTTAAATTATTTGAACACTAAAAAATAAAATCACGATAAACGTGGCTCAAAATTTTAAAACTTATTTTCCACTGATTGGCTACTATAGCTTGAAAACATCAGTTAGATTAGTTTATGTGCGTAATTATCAGCTTGTAACCAACTCCCTTCTTTGTTAGAAATTAACTTACAGTTATGGGTTTTTTCTTTGTCCCTGCAGCCTCATTCATTAAATGTTTTTAATAAGTGATTATATAAATTATATTTTCTTTTGAAAGTATATAAATTATATTTTTAAGAAATGCACCAAATCAAGTAATATTAAATAATAGTTTCCCTTAAATACAAACAAATTAGTTCCGACTTCAGAAAGTTTAGTTATAAATTTTACAGATAATAACCTTAATTTTATTTATCAGTTATATTTTTTGAATTGGATCATAGGACGTTGTTCATTTGCGAATAATGTAAAAGGTGATTGTTTTTCTCACGTAACATGAGAGAAAAACAATCTCTTACCCACACATATAGAAAATAAAGGAAAGAGAATAAAAAAGAGAAAAAAAATTTAAAGTGAATTCTACATTCAATTTCTATATAGTGCATGAGAGAGTTATTTCTCAATGTAAAATACACTTTATTGCTAGCACTACGTACGTCAAGTATTTTTTTTTTTTTTGGGTACATGCCAAGTATTTTGGCCTCAGCTTTTGTGCACATACACATCAATACATCATGTCAATTAACTGTAAAACCCTGGTCATAGGATACAATTTAATTTTGATGCATCATAATTGCAAAGATTTTTTTTATTTATTTCATTGAGTTGCATAATATTATTTTAAAAAAATGGCGGTATTTATCTAGCAAAAATTATTGATAAATCAATGAGTTGCATAATATTATTTAAAAAATATTTTTAATTGCACTATTCATGTATAATTGAGTTAAAGGTTTTTTTTTATCACTTATCCCTTAACTTCAATTTTTTTTTTTATCACGTACCTCTTAAATGATGGGGATAAACGATAAAAAAAATTTATGAATAAATAATTCAAAATTTTGGGAATGGAGTAAATGATTATGAGAAAAATTACCAAATTTTTTTTTTTGAAGTTTTTCCATTTTATATTTATGATATGGATTTTTATTAATAAATAAATATGTAATCCGTTACCGAAAAAAATAAATATAATCCATGTATAAATGAGATATTTTAACAAACGAAAAATCAAAATACTCTTCTGAGAGTTTTCGGTTGATTTGTTTTAATGAATTATCATATTTTTGTTAATAATTAATATTAATTGATTTATTAATTGCACAATCATTTATTGAACACAATATAAGGTGATAGAGAAGAGAGTTAATGCGGGACGAACATTTAAGTAAGGTATTAATGAGACTTTGTCAAGCATATATATACATATACATGCAGTTATACACTATCATTTTTTTTTTATATATTCATATACACTATCATTTTAAATCATTAGAAGAAAGGGGGTTGGATGCAAATACATTACATCTTAAATGGTATACAGACACAAAGAAATTGAATAATTAAATATGAATAAACTAATTGAAAACAAAGCTGAGAGATGTGACTTGACTCTCCAAGTCGTTTTCCCTTACAACTGTATTGTACGATATCAGCTTCACGTTCCTCATGGCTGAATCGGCTTATATTGTTTTTGGTAGGGGTTTTTTTTTATTGATCAACTTCGATGAGAATGGCAGTTGTGATAAGTGGGGCATAGGGGAATAAAATATAAACAGTAAAATCCATAACTCCATGTGGAGATTATGATGAAAATCAAAAGAAACCTCATGATTTGACTATTACAATTATAGTGAATTAAAGAAGGGAGTATTTAATCTCATGTTGTAAGAAATACTCTTATTATATCATAGATCCAATATATGGTGAGTTCCACCATGTGTTAGAAAATAATAAATAAATAAATAAAAAATACGTTTGTCGATGTATCTGCAACATAAGATAACTCTCTCATATTACATGAGATAATAATTTCCATTAAAGATATAGAAACTACCGGTGAATGGGGGGAAGAAAAGAAAGGTGTTATTAATTAGCTACAACTTATACGTATACAAAATTAGAAATTTGAGAACGAAGTTATAAAACAGGTGTCATAGCTATTGTTCATGGAAAGCTGAAGTTGTATTAATTCTCGTGTTATAGGACGAGGAGTTATCTTCGTTTCAGCGACACAATAAGTGTACGAACATTAAAAGAAAGAAAATAAAATCAAAATCAAAATCAAAAGCGAGCTATCGATAGTTCAATAAAAAAAAAAGTGTTATTAAACTTAATCCAGACATTGACACATTGACCTGAACAGATTATTCGATTATTGGTCGGATTGATGAGTCATTGATCGAATCGGTTAATTCTGATACATATAAATATATAAATATATATAAATATGAAGATATAAATTTAATGATGTTCTCCATATCTAAATTGAGTTAAACAAGGTTTATTAAATAAGCTCAAAAATTATCTAATCACACTTTTACAAATAAATGGAAATGGACAATATTACTATTTTAATTTAAATTGCAACTCAGAAACCCTTTAAGTATACTTCTCAATGACATTGAACTCATATTTTTTAAATTTATCTACATTCAAATGACATAGGTCACATTCTCTTAATTTATTGTTCCGCAAATTGCTTCAGCATTGAAAGCTGAAATTTGATGTCATTGTAAAAGAGTATACTAGCAAATAAAATTATAAAAAGTTTTTAAAATGAGATAGAGAAAGGATATTGTAACAACCAATGTTACTATCAATCAATTTCACTGTTAGTTATATCGATTATATGGATCCAACGGATATATATGGATCCAACTGTTTGGATCCTCTTATTTTTAAGCTAGAAGCTACGTATAAGCTAAAGCTAAAAAAAAGATCTTAAAAAAGAAGCTAAAAGCTGTTTGGAAATTACATAAAAAATTTAGCTTAAAAATTACTTAAAAGCACATATTTCAAGAAAATTATCTCTCTCTATCTTTATCACTCTTCATTTTTTTAAAAAGCACACAATTCAAGAAAAACAGATAAGAGCTTAAAAAAACCTCCTCGTAGGAGCTTTTAGTTTTCAGCTTTTTTCTTCATTATAAAAAAAAGAACTTTTCGTTATAAGAGCTTTTTCCAAAACCTGTTTAACCTAGCTTATGCTTATAAGTAGTTTCTAGCTTAAAAAAGAGAGGATCTAAACAGACACTTAATATTTTATATTTATTTCTGTTATGATTTTTCATATTTAATGCTTTCACATTAAATATGGAGAATCATAACCATACAAAGATAGAAGTAAATATAACCGTTGGATCAATATAATCGATTTAATGGTGAAATTGACTGTGTAGTAAGTGTAATTGGTTGTTAAAATATTTTACCCCGATGAATTATACATTTTTTTGACAAGATGATATAATTTTAATTTATCTTATATAAAAATGTATAACCCGACCGGATCGCCGGGTTTTGACCGGATCCAATGCATAAATGATCCAATATTTAACCCAAACCAATCCAATGATTGATTCACCGGGTTCTAGGTCGACCCGGCACAACGGTGCCGGTTTCACAACTGCGGGGAAAACACTTCTTCTTCCGTAAGAGCATAAGTGTCTTTCCCTACCTAATAAACCCATAACAACAATAATTTTCCTCATGCATGGCGCAGAGTTAATTTATTAGGTGCAGTAAGTTATATGAAGTGAACTTGCCTACCCTCTAATACATGTCTATCAGCCTCAATTTGGCACACACAATTTCATTATATAATATGATTTCTCACCCATATAATTGAGTTAGACTTGACTAGAAATTTTGGGAGTCAAAGCAAAAATTATGTTGTGGACTAGGCAGAAGACAAAACCGGAGACAGAAAGGCAATTATCAATGGAAACTCTAAAAAAAGTCTCAAACGAAAACAAACATGTCCGAAGTCCAAACAGAGCCTTAGGTTGAGGATTGAGGCAGCCACGAAGTCAGAGAAGGCTATAGGCTTCGAATTCCATTAAAGATACCCTGAAATAAACGGTTGGGGCCATAAATTCAACTACTCAATGTTAGTTGGTTCTGACTCTTTTTCTCATTCCACGATGTACCTTTTATCTATCAGTCAATCCTACCAGTCCTTCACATTTTACGCAAGCAACAAAAAAAAAAAAAAAAAATATTTAATATTTAAAAAAAAAAAAACCTTAGCGAGTTCCTTCCTTTGTTTTTATATTCTTAAACTTCCTCGCAGTCCCTACTTCTCTTTCTGTTTTCTATCTTTTATGTACAGAAAGATGACACAACCATTTTTGTTCCTTAAAAAACATAGCCATTCATCAACAACGTTGCCAATGGGTGCAGACATGTCCAACAATCCACCTCCTACTTCTCATGCCAAAGACTTCTTTGCCTCTCCAGCTCTCTCTCTAAGCCTTGTAAACCTTCTTATTCACTTTTTTTTTTTTTTTATCTGATTAATTTTTCAATGTTTTGTGCTTCATTTGTTTTACATGCTTTTATGCTTTCTATTTCACTTTATTGAATTCAGGCTGGAATTTTTCGCCATGCCGGGGTGGCGGCGGAGGCTGAGGTGGGAACTTCGGTGGAGGAGGGCGACGAGGGAAGTGGAGGAGGTGAGCGGCGAGATGACACAGTTGAGATTAGCAGCGAGAACTCTGGTCCCACGAGATCAAGATCAGAGGATGATTTTGAAGGAGAAGGTGAACATGACGAGGATGATGATGGTGATGGGGATAAGAACAAGAAGAAGAAGAAGAGGAAGAAATATCACAGGCACACCGCTGAGCAAATCAGAGAAATGGAAACGTGCGTAAAATCTCACCCTTTTTTCTATATACTCTTATGTATGTATATATGTATGTGTGCGTATATGGTAAGAGTAACAGAGTTTGGAGGACAACTAATATTGATCATCATTGGTGACTAGTGAGTAATGAGCAATAAACAATGAGCATTATTATTTTCCTGCATTTTTTCTTTTTAAGAGTTTCTGTGCATAGTACTCTATGTGTGTCTTCATTACTAGAAAGTGAAAACTTAGAATTATTAATTAAGCAATAAGCGACAGCTTTTTCTATATAATAATAAAAAAGTACTAATTGTGCGATGACTTTCTGTGCACATGTTAGATGTTAAGTAAAATAAGTAATCAGTCATTAATTTGGGGTTATAAAATGGTTTCTTCCAAAGTTATGTGATTTGCATGCCAGCATTGTTTATATATATTGTGTGGAGAAATCATAGCGTAGACTGCATAATTTATACATCGTGTAGGCCGTACTACTGGCCACAATTATGAAAAAAGTTATTGATATCATAAGGGTTATAAAAGGAAGTTGATTAAAAGCTAAAGCTTAAAATTTTGAACAGCTTTTGCTTTATGTGTTTGTTATCTTAGTCCTATGCAAAGAAATTTTTTTGTTAACCCACTTTTTCGCTTGATTTGTTTTTGTTGTTTAAGTAAGAGATGCATATCATGTTTGCATTATTAAACTCCATTTGATGGACCACTCTGCATATAAGAATGGAAGCTTGTTGTGAAAGATAAATCCATAAAAGAAAAAAAAAAAGCTGACACGAATAGAATATTTGTAGGCTTTTCAAAGAGTCCCCACATCCTGATGAAAAGCAAAGGCAACAACTTAGCAAGCAATTAGGCCTTGCTCCAAGGCAAGTCAAGTTTTGGTTCCAAAATCGTCGAACCCAAATCAAGGTAACTTAATTTTATTCACTTACTTGCGAATCCAGGTATTCAACTCAATTTCAATTATTTTATTTTTTTCATAAAATTTTCTAAACTGTTTTTCTCCTGTGACTTTAACAATGATATGCAGTACATATTGCCTTTTGCAGGCAATACAAGAGCGTCATGAAAATTCTTTGTTGAAGACAGAAATAGACAAACTAAAGGAGAAAAATAAGACCTTGCGAGATACCATAAACAGGGCATGTTGCCCCAACTGTGGTGTGGCCACAACAAGCAGAGATGGTGCCATGCCAACTGAAGAACAACAACTCCGAATTGAAAATGCCAAACTCAAAGCTGAGGTTTGTGTCCACAAAACTAAAAAACATAGGTTATAATTACTTTTCTGATTTTCTTTATATATAAAATCCAGATTGAAAAATTTACACTCTTGAAACATTTGTAGGTAGAGAAGCTCAGAACAACTTTAGGGAAATACGCACCAGGTACAATGTCCCCTTCATGTTCTGCAGGCCATGACCAAGAGAATAGAAGCTCTTTGGATTTTTACACTGGAATTTTTGGTCTTGATAAGTCAAGGATAATGGATATAGTAAACCAAGCAATGGATGAGCTCATAAAGATGGCTACAGTAGGGGAACCATTATGGCTTCGTAGCTTTGAGACTGGTCGAGAAATTCTTAACTATGATGAATACATGAAGGAGTTCACAGTTGAAAATTCAAACAATGGAAGGCCAAAGAGATCCATCGAAGCCTCAAGAGAGACTGGTGTTGTTTTTGTTGATCTCTCTCGGCTTGTCCAAAGTTTTCTAGATGCTGTAAGATACTATATATATATATAATCTTGAACCATATGAATATGATTGTTTTAAATAACTTTCTGAATAGTCTATTAATGTCTTATAACAAAGTGTCTCTTAAAAGCAGTTCATAGATAAAGTGTGATTTAGAATGAATGTTATATTTCGTTTTGATGTGCAAAAGATCTTTGTTATGCATCTTGCAGAATCAATGGAAGGAGATGTTTCCATGTTTAATAACTAAGGCGGCAACTGTTGATATTATATGCAATGGAGAAGGTTCTAACAGGAATGGCGCAGTGCAACTGGTAAGGGGAATTAAAATGATTACCTCCGTGCTAGGTTTCTTCCATATTGAATTTGCTGAAAGGTTACATAAAAGTTAAGGCAGTCACACTAAATTGAAAATGCAAAAAGAATAATAATAATAATAATAAGGGTGATGTAACTTCAATCGTTTTCATTTAACCTGATGTTTTAAATAAAATTTATTTTGATAAATTGTACAAAAGGAAATTGTTTCCATTAATTCTCTATCGTATGAAGTGAACATGAATACAAATAAATAGGCCTATGGTTGTTCCTGATGGGTGCAACTACTTCCTAAATATATGCAACAGCTAAGATGCTACTATCCTAGAATACATCAGATAACAAAATAAGCTAGGAAAAAGGTATCCTAACAAACTAAGATAACAACCAATCTACAACTAATAACAATCAGATCAGATCGAATCTTCTATTCCAACACTCCCCCTCAAGTTGGAGCATGAAGATATGAAATGCCTAACTTGGGAAGGAAAGCCATAAAGGAAGCGCGTCCAAGTGCCTTTGTGAAAATATCCGCAAGTTGGAACTGAGATCGAACAAAAATAGTACGGATAGTCTTGGATAACAACCGTTCCCGGACAAAGTGGCAGTCAATTTCAATGTGTTTGGTGCGCTCATGAAACACAGGGTTGGCTGCAATGTGTAGAGCCGCTTGATTGTCACAACACAACTCCATTGGATCATCATGAAAAACATTAAGAGATGCAAGAAAGGACTTCAACCAAACTAATTCAGCCGTGGTGGTTGCCATGGAGCGGTATTCAGCTTCTGCCGAGGAGCGTGAGATGGTGAGCTGCTTCTTTGTTTTCCATGAGATAGGTGAATTTCCAAGCATAATAAAGAACCCAGAAATTGACCTACGAGTTAAAGGACAGCTGGCCCAATCGGAGTCACAAAAAGCATGAATTTTGAGATCACTCTTGGAAGGAAGGAGAATTCCTTGGCCAGGATTCATTTTGAGGTATCGTAATACTCTGATCGCAGCTTCATAATGCACTTCCTTCGGAGCTTGCAAGAACTGGGAGAGAATATGCACGGCATAGCTTAAATCAGGCCGAGTTATTGTAAGATAGACTAGCTTACCCACAATTCGTCTATAACGTCCCGGATCACCATAGGCAGGACCATCATCTAAAGCCAAACGATGATTTTGTTCAATTGGGAACTGAACTGGTTTACAATCCAACAAACCAGTTTCTTTGAGAATATCCAACGCGTATTTACGTTGACACAAGAAAATACCGTCATCATGACGAGCAACTTCGATGCCTAAAAAATATTTCAACTGGCCCAAATCCTTAATTTTGAAGCATTTGTTAAGATAAGCTTTAGCCTCTTGACATGCCTGTGAATCATTCCCTGCCAACACCAAATCGTCAACGTAGATCAAAATGGCTAAGAAACAAGGACCACGCTACAAAGTGAATAAAGTGTGATCTGCTGCAGATTGAATAAAACCATATTGGACAAGAGAAGTGCTTAGTTTTGCAAACCAATTTCTGGGAGACTGTCGCAAACCATATAAGGACTTTTGTAGGCGACATACTTTGCTTCCTTGCCCTTGATTAAAGCCAGCTGGGATGCGCATGTACACTTCTTCATCAAGATCGCCGTTAAGGAACGCGTTATGAACATCCATTTGATGTAAATACCAACCTTTTGCTGCTGCAACCGAGAGTAAAGTTCTAACACTCACCATTTTCGCTACTGGAGCATAAGTCTCAGTGAAATCCTCGCCTGGAATTTGGTGATTGCCTGCGATTACTAATCGGGCTTTGTAACGCTCGACGCTGCCATTTGAGTGATATTTAATTTTATAGACCCATTTACATGGAAGAGCATGCTTCCCAACTGGTAACTCGGTGATAGCCCATGTATGATTTTCTTCTAGGGCTTGGATCTCTTGTGCCATGGCTTGACGCCATTCGACATTTGCCATAGCTTCTTTAAATGAGCGAGGTTCAGTTCCTGTGTCAATAGCAGCAACAAACATGCGATGTTTTGAAGAAAATTGTTAGTGGTTACATAGTTTGCAATAGGGTACCGCATACCTGAGGTAGAAGTGGAAGAGGTGAGAGCAGGTGGTGGTGTATGTGTTGTGATCATATTACAGTTGTAGTCATTCAAGTATGATGGTGTCCGTCGTGTTCGTGTTGGACGATGAGACTCAGGTTGAGTTGTTTCTTCACTTCGGGGCCCCAAATCACAACTGGGCTCTTCAGTTCTATGTACTAGAGTAGGTGCTGGATTTAGATTCCCTTGCATGGGATCAGGAGGTGATGGAGAATGCTCAAGGTGCTCAGAACTGCACTCTGTTGCACCACGCGTAGAACTCCCCCTGGCGTCGGGTTGTGCTTCAAGTACAGAACTTCGTGATGGATGATCAGGGACATGTGGGGTCACTTCATTCGAATCTTCTTGAAGAGAAGAAGGCAATAAAGGACGCGGAGTAGGTAAGTCTGCCGCAATAAATGGAAACTCCTCCTCATGAAAGCTAACATCTCGTGAAACAAAAAATTCCTTAGTATCAAGGTCATAAACCTTCCAACCTTTCTGCCCATAAGGATAACCAATAAACATGCACCTTCTAGATCTTGGGCTGAACTTGTTTGCTGGTTTCGGTTGCGTCACCACGTAACATAAGCAACCAAATACCTTTAAGTGCCCATAGTCATCAGTGTACCCATGCAGAATTTCATGAGGGGTCTTTCCATGAAGAACCTTGGTTGGAGTTCGATTAATTATGTGGGCAGCAGCCATGACACTTTCCCCCCAAAATTTAATAGGCAAGTTAGCTTGAAATAAAAGTGCTCTGGACACGTTTAAAATATGCCTGTGTTTTCTTTCTACTCGTCCATTTTGTTGTGGCGTATGGACACATGATTTCTGATGAAACACACCATTTTCAGTGAATAATTCAGCCATCTTATGAGAAGTAAATTCCGTGCCATTATCTGTCCGAACTGATTTAACCGTTGTATTAAACTGATTTTGCACCATTAGAAGGAATTTTCGCAGAAATAAATACGTTGCACTTTTATCATTCATTAAGCAAACCCATACAGCACGACTAAAGTCATCAACTATGGTTAAGAAGTAATAAGCACCCGAAGAAGAGGGAGTTCTATAAGGACCCCATATATCACAATGAATCAGATCAAATACTTTATTGCTTTTGCGATCACAAATAGGAAAAGAGGATCGAATTTGTTTGGCACGATAACAGACATCGCAAGCCTTTTTATTCATACTGCAAAATTGAAAACCTCTAGAAAAAGAGAGCATAGAAAGTGCTTCAGGTGATGCATGTCCCAACCGCTTGTGCCAAAGCTCTTGTGAATCATTTGAACGTGTTGTGAAGGCTGCTACTTGGCTTGGTCTCAACACATACACACCATCCTTTTGGTCACCCAATCCAATCTCCGTCCTCAGCTTGCGGTCCTGTAGCACACAACAATCATAAGTAAACACCACATCAACGTTTTGTTGTCGTATCAATTGAGAAACTGATATCATATTACACTTTAGATTAGGAACAAATAAAACGTTGGATAAAGAAAAATTGTCAAATAAAACAGATCCTTGTTGCTTTGCATAAGTGACAGCTCCATTAGGTAAAGCTATTGACAAAGGCTCAATGGTCGTAATGTTTGCAAATAAGTCCAGAATTCCTGTCATGTGGCGCGATGCCCCACTATCTATAAGCCAATGTGAATTTTTACCAATTAATTTTTCCTTCGATTGTTGAGGCTGATCACCCAGTGTGAGTAGTTTTGTTACTACATCTGGTGTCAAAACAGGAAAAGCATTTGCTTGCTCAGATGAGTCCTCCGTTTGTGCTGCGTTTGCAGCAAAAGGCTTTGCATAGGAACCTCCTTGTGAGTTGCGCCATCCCCCTTGTGAGTTACTTCTGTAACCACCAAAGCGGCCACGACCTCGCCCCCTTCTACCGTCGCGGCTGAGAGCTTCGCGCCCCTTGCCTTCGTCACGACCAGGGAATCCGAATGCTTGCCAGCAACGCGAGGCCTCGTGATTATTTATGCCACAATGGATGCATGGAGGACGATCGGCAAACCGGTCCTTGGCTGGTGCAGGTGCTTGTACTGCATTTCCAACTTCATCATTACGAGGAGTCTGATTTCGAGTGATAGCTCTGTGAGTCTCTTCCTGGGTCATAATGGCATACACCTTATTCATCGTTGGAAGAGGTGAATTGTTGAGGATTTGAGACCGCAAATTGCCATAGACATCATCAAGGCCCATAAAGAACTTGTATACCTGATCATGTTCCATTTCTTCTTCAACTGCCTTTGCATATGCGCAGTTTGCTCCACACGGACAATGTGTATAAGTTTTGCTGCTGGCGAGCTCATCCCAGACAGCACGTAGCTGCATGTAGTATTCTGCAATGGTGGTACCTTGCTGCCTTATGGTGGCCAAACTAGCCTTGAGTTGGTATTGACGAGTAAAATTTTCGACAGCGTACCTTTCCTTCAGGTCATTCCAGAGGTCTTTTACCTCATCAAAGCACTTAATGAATGGTTGCAATTTCTGATCGATGGTATTGTGTATCCATCCGTTGATCATAAAATTACACATCTCCCAGGCGCGCCACTCCTCTGCTTGCGCCTTGTCAGGTTTCTTAATGGATCCATCAATGAATCCCAACTTGTTTTTTGATTTGAGGGCATTTTTCATGAGTTTTGCCCAGTTCTCATAATTTGCTTCCCCTCTCAACGTAACATTTGTCAAGAGAATGCCAGGATTATCTGAACCGGCGAGATAGAAATGTGAACCCGGGTCTGTGGGTTTCGTTCCACTAGTGGTCATCTTCAAGTAAGACTGAAATCTGCTCACAGCTTTAGAGTTGTGCACGTCTGCGGAAGTGTTTAGGAAAGACAAGCTCTGATACCATGATAAATTGTACAAAAGGAAATTGTTTCCATTAATTCTCTATCGTATGAAGTGAACATGAATACAAATAAATAGGCCTATGGTTGTTCCTGATGGGTGCAACTACTTCCTAAATATATGCAACAGCTAAGATGCTACTATCCTAGAATACATCAGATAACAAAATAAGCTAGGAAAAAGGTATCCTAACAAACTAAGATAACAACCAATCTACAACTAATAACAATCAGATCAGATCGAATCTTCTATTCCAACATATTTCCTCTTGCAAATAAGGAAGGAACAGTTAGAAAGTGGATTGATTGATATTATTAAGGTTTTTTTTTTTTCAAGTGGTCCACCCATGACAAACAGGGCCAATGATGGTTTCTAGCTATTTAAAATGATCATTCCCTACATTTGAAATTTTCATCCTAACCTTGTAAATGATTAAGATGAAAATTTTGAGTTGCATGTGTATAATTACGCTTGCGCATATAGAAATTATGGTTTCTTAACCCATGCATTAAATCTTTTTGGAAATGTAAGTGCTTATGACTTTTTCCGCGCCTTTAAATACGGCTTTTATTCATATCACACAGTATTGATAAAGATACATAAAAGGATAATGATACAAAAGTTAGAATATCACTTAATTGCTTTTCAAAAAAGAATATCACTTAATTAGTTAACTCTTTGGCACTTTCCTCTCACTCTTCCCCATATGTCATCCAACATTTCCAGCTGGAATCTCTCTCTCTCTCTCCGTGTCCTTCATATCTAGAAAAGATTTTCCACTCAAAGGCTATATGCCAAACCAAACACAGAAACATGTGTTTTATAATTTATATCCCATATACAGTTACATGAACATAGCAAGACAAACATGACCTCTTGTTGAGGTTCTTAGATGTGGTTACTGAAACTCTTGTCACGGAAGCACTAAAGGCGTAAAGTTAAATTTGACATGACACCTTAAATTTGCATTGTCTGCAGATGTTTGCTGAGGTGCAAATGCTCACACCAATGGTGCCCACAAGAGAAGTGTATTTTGTCAGGTACTGCAAACAGTTGAGTGCTGAACAGTGGGCAATCGTTGATGTATCCATAGACAAAGTAGAAGACAACATCGACGCATCCCTCGTGAAATGCAGAAAACGCCCATCAGGTTGCATTATTGAAGACAATTCGAATGGTCATTGCAAAGTATGTACAAATTATAGTTCTAAATTGGCTTTCATTTTTCATGCTTTAAATTATTACGTAGTTTCTTATAATTTCACAAAATTTTTAAAACAAGTCTATAATCTAAATTTTATTTATTTTTTTATCGGAGTCCGTATAATTTTGAAAAAAAAATTATATAGGCCCTTACCCAATATCGGTTGTTAACTTTTGCTAAACTATCAGGATCTATTTGAAAACTCGCCTATTCAATCGTGCTTTCTGTCATATATATGAATCTTTATAATTTATTTAATTTTTTAAATAGGTCTCTATAATTTAGTAAAAGTTAATGGAGTTTAATGATTTATAACCAGGGAAAAATATTTGTCATTTTAAATGATACAAAGTTATGTCATTTTTAATGAAACTGTTTTGGTGTGTTTTAACATTCTCTTTCCTCCATTTTCTTTTAATTTCTAATTTTATAAATTAGAAAACATGACAAAACACATCAAAACGACGTAGTTTCATTAAAAATGACACAAAGTTATGTCATTTAAAATGACAAACACTAAACCCAAATAACAAATCAGGAATTTTAAAAAAAAAAATAGAAGTATAAAACCTAGTTAAAAAATTCTAAACTACGCACTTATTTAAAAATTTACTGAAACTAATGGGAGTTGTAGGGTAATTTAACTTCGATACTTATAACTTTTTTTTTTTTACAATATCTTACGACCATATCTTAACACCGTTGATTTTCGTCAATCAACGGTTATGATTTTTGCAAATTAAACTCATTAATTAATTATTAATTCACAATAAATAATAACCGTTGATTGACGGAAATCAACAGTATTAAAATATAGTTGTAAGAAATTGTAAAAAAAAAAAGTTGTACGTATAACCTTCCTCGTATAAAAATCATTCAATACTTTTTTATTTATTATTTAGATATTAGGAGAATTGGTTGGTTACTAGAATTTAGAATTATTGAATTCAGAAATGAAAATAGAATTAACTGCGTGTAGAACTTTAAGTTTAAGAGTGCAAAATAAACAAGGCTAAATATTGATCTTCCTTTTGGTTTAAGGTAATCTGGGTGGAGCACTTGGAATGCCAGAAGAGCACAGTCCATACAATGTATCGCACCATTGTCAACAGTGGTCTAGCCTTTGGGGCAAGGCACTGGATTGCAACACTGCAACTTCAATGTGAACGTCTAGTTTTCTTCATGGCAACAAATGTTCCCATGAAGGATTCAACCGGTGAGTAACGTGTTCTAACAAGTTAATTATTATGCTGAATGAATACATTCACTAAACATAATATTGGTGATGATTAAAATGTTAGGTGTTGCCACATTGGCTGGGAGAAAAAGCATTCTGAAGTTGGCACAAAGAATGACATGGAGTTTCTGCCATGCAATTGGCGCGTCAAGTTTCCATACATGGACTAAGGTTACAAGCAAAACAGGAGAAGACATAAGGATTAGTTCTAGAAAGAACTTGAACGATCCTGGTGAACCTCTTGGGTTGATATTGTGCGCAGTTTCTTCTGTATGGTTACCTGTTTCTCCTAATGTTCTATTTGATTTCTTGAGGGATGAAGCTCGCAGAACTGAGGTACCACTCTCTTCATAATGCTTTTGTCAATTTGGTGAGTAGTTATGTGGATTTGGATGGTTAACTTTGTTCATAATTATCATTGTCACAGTGGGATATCATGTCCAGTGGTGGATCAGTGCAGTCCATTGCAAATTTATCCAAAGGACAAGACAGAGGCAATGCTGTAACCATCCAAGTAATAAGTTATAGTTCAATATTTTATAAACTGAATTAATTAATGCAAAAATGTTTTTATTAAAACATTGTTCTAAGTAAAAATATGGGGTTCTTCTGATTTTGTAGACAATTAAATCTCAAGAAAATAGTATGTGGATACTGCAAGATAGCTGCACAAATCCTTATGAGTCAATGGTGGTATATGCTCCTGTGGACATTACTGGTATTCAGTCTGTGATGACAGGATGTGATTCAAGCAATCTTGCCATTCTTCCATCTGGATTCTCAATTGTTCCTGATGGTCTCGAGTCAAGGCCAATGGTCATTACTTCAAGGCAGGAAGAAAAGAATACAGAGGGAGGATCTTTATTTACAATAGCATTCCAGATCCTTACTAATGCTTCTCCTACAGCCAAGTTAACAGTTGAGTCTGTGGACTCGGTCAACACTCTTTTGTCTTGTACATTGAGAAATATCAGAACAAGTTTACAATGCGAAGATGGTTAGTCAAAATCAGATAATTACTTGATAGACTTTAATTAGGGGTGATAATGTTATGCCTTTCTATTCCCTTTTTGGGTTGTATTCTTCGGTTTGGCAGAAATAGCTTGCGTTTGTCCCCTTATTCTGGGTTACTTATATTCATTATTCCATTAAAAAGGACGGTTTGGATTGAAAATTTATATATCTGTATCTGCAGTTTTACAGGTATAAAGAGACACAAAAAGCTTTTAGAACGTAGAAATTAAGTATGTCTTGTATAGAATTATCATTTGTGAATTCTTATGTTGTTTGTTTTTTGGTTGTAAATTTTGTGATTCATGTGCCTTATGTGGTTTGGTTTTTGGCGGAAATCAGCTATTAGAATTTGGGATAAGATATTATCTCTAGTTCTCTACTCTTATTTTGTCTACCTTTGCCTACCTCTCTCAACACCATTAAATTACAATCTCATTCAACGGTGGAGAGTTGCAGAATAAAATAAATCATTTTCCCCTTTTTTTCTCTTAACTTTCTCTCTTCTAACTGCCTCCCACACTCTTTCTCTCCTCCCTTTTCTCTCTATCGATTTGCGTAATTTATAACCTGAATTTATATTTGAATCTAAATCCATGCACTGATTAATGGCATGATAATTCTGCTGGATAAGTATAATTTTTAAAATTCCTTGAATATGATATAATTGAACATGGCAGAAATCACAAAAAAATGAAAACCACGAATAATCCCTTCCGTTAAATTAATCCATGATTAACATAACGTTTCTACTTTGCTGTTGAAATTTAAAATCGAATCAACTTATCTCCTTCTTATCTTGTTTTTCACCTTGAAGTGGGAAAATGATATCTATTCTCTCTATGTTACGCCCAATATGGTATCTGGATTTGTTTCTTCTTGACACCACATTTCAATTTTTTATATAAATGCTCATAAAAATGGCTGGGTTGGATGAAATAAGAAAAAAACTTGCACCTTTTTTTGATGCTAAAGTGCCATTGAAGAGAGAGAAAAGGGAGGAGAGAGAAAGAGTGGTGAGGCACTGCGAAAGAGAAAGGGGTAAAAGAGTTTATTTTATATCATAAATCTCCACCGTTGGATGAGATTATAATCTAACGGTGAGGGTAGACAAAGATAGGCAAAACAAAAGTAGGCAGAATAACCTATCCCTTAGATAGAATTTGGTGTCAAATTTCAAAGTTTGACATCGGTGTTAAAGGATCCTACCTATATATATATATATATATATATATATATATATATATATATGAGGTAAGATCCTTTGACACCAGTGTCAAATTTGAAATTTGACACCTCATCTGTGAGCCGTTAGATCAAAAAAGATCAATGACTCTGATTAGTAAACATGTGACACCATTGATCTAACGGCTCACAGATGAGGTGTCAAATTTCAAATTTGACACAAATTTGACACCGGTGTCAAAGGATCCTACCTATATATATATATAAGTTTGATTCACAATAAATGATAACCGTTGATTGACAGAAATCAACGGTTAGGATTTGATGTCAAATTTCAAAGTTTGTTTTGACACCAAATCTTATTCTTTGTTTTCGTGAATTTAACGATTATAATTTATTGGGTCACACTTATTAATTAATTTTTAATTTTTAATAAATTATAATCGTTTGATTGACGAAAATTAAGGGTTATATATATATATATATATATATATATATATATATATATATATATGGGCAAGATCATTTTATACCAGTGTAAGAATAATAATTCTTAAACCAAATTTTAACCGTTAATTTTCGTGCATCTAACGGTTAAGATTTGTTAGGTCACATTAATTAATTAATTATTAATTTCCTATAAATCTCAACCGTTAGATACATGAAAATCAACGATTAAAATTTGATGTAAGACTTATTATTCTTAAACTGATATAAGTTAATCATCCCATATATATATATATATATATATATATATATATATATATATAACCACAATAATTAAGAAAAATTAAGAAGCTAAAGTTATATCTTTCTGACAATTGTTGTGCAAATTATTACTTTTGAACATTAAATTCAAATTTATTCAAAATTTTCACTTCTATTCTAAAATATTAAAGCATTAAATGTAAGGACAGACACTTCTCCTGTAGGAGAAGTTTTTTTCTCATTTTGAGTCTATCGAATTTCGTGCCTCAAATTTTATTTTTTTACCAGGTGGCAGGCCCCATATGTTTTATGGGTGGTGGGAGATAAAAAATTTCTCCTGTAACAAGAAAAGTGTTTATCCCTCAAATGTATTGCCTTTTCTGGATTCCAAATCTAGTTATATGAATCCATGGACGGCGTATTTACTATTTAGAGCGACAATTGAATCATTTGGTCTTCTAGTATGAAAAAATAAATAAATTTAAAGATAAAAAAGTTATTTAAAAGATATAAAATTATAAAAGATGTACCCTAATATTTTCGTAGGCTTGCTCAAAAGGACAAAGTTAGTTATACTATTCAACCTGGAGCTAGAGCTAGCTCCTCGTTGGAGTAGGCAAAGAGCTTTGCCAAAGATCAAACCCAAGACTCAATCTTTGAGACACATTTTTCTACTAAGTGTGTCACCCCTTGGGATTGACACCTTTTGCTTTATGTGTTTGTTACATATGCCTCTGAAAAGCACTTGGAATTTAGTCATTTTTGGTGAAAGTATTGATACTGTGGGTACTGCGATAGAAATAATGGGTATAAAAAATTACTCTGAACTGAAAATAAATTATAGTTTTATTCTTCATAAATTTATAAGGAACTATAGTTTAAAATAAATAGAGGATATTTAGATAGCAACAAATCTGTTTTAGTAAAAAAATCGATATCTCGAGCTACAGAATTCCAAATTGAACGAGGTTTAGACGTATTTGAAGCTAACACATAGGGATACAACTTTGTAAACTTTCATAGCCATTGGATAAGTGATTTGATCTCAGTTTAAGTTTGAAGTCTCGACTTTGTTGCTGAAAATTCAGTTTGCAGCAGTCATTTTGCAAAAGACATAACCGGAGTTATAAAACTCTAATTGAGACATATAGTATGTTGTTGGAAATCTTGAGATGTATAGTTTAACATATTAAAATCTTAGAATTTTTGGTAAAGATTTACAATTGCATTTTTAGAAATGGTAAACAAGGTTTGTTGTCGTATTCACAATTAGAGTAATTTCTTCGGAATGAATTTCAGAAACGACTTGTAAACTCTATTGTGCTAGTGTGTGAGGTTATAAAAGGCATGGGACCCTAGGGAGTTGATCTAATTCCTCCACCTTGAGTTGGTGTCCTTATGTAAAGAATGATTACGTAAAAGACAATATTGAAATGAACGTCGTAAACTTGTATATTTGCTAATTGTCATTACATCTTTGAAATAGGTTATGATTTTGTGAGGGCCTATGATTGTGGTCCTTTGGATACTGAGAGTACATTGGAGTATGTTGTTGTAACAGGTAAGCTTCGTGTTCTCAAGTTTAATCCCTTGTTTGTTTCATCAAGCTCCATGGGAGGATGGTTTGTGTCTGGTATATTTTTATAAAATGATTTATGAACTGATATTACTTGAGGTATTTGGAAATGCACGTTGGCATGATGTGTTAATATATTCGTATGGTGGTAATAGCATTTACCTACACAAGACAAGCTGCGGTCTGAGTGTAAGGCACAAGGGGGATGCCTTGTGTTTTATGGTATATTGTAAATGTGCATAAAATATACCTTCCTTTGGCCAGTAGAATTGATTTGTTAGCTATTACACATTGTATATCTCACATGCTGCATATGATTTTATTATTCTGTTGAACTTATTATACCTATAAGTGAGCTTGGGGGAGGAGTGATCCTTCGAGAACCCCAGTTTACTGAGATTTCTCAAAATATCACCCCGTCTGGGGCACATTTTTCAGGCGTAGATATTCATGAGATGGGTACCTCTAGAGGCAAGAGGCCAGAGTAGAGATTCTAGCATGACATGAGACATGCATTGTTATGATATGTTGTTTATACATTCCTATGAAACATGATTTCCATTTGACATTTTATGTTATGTTTGTATTTGTGAAGAACATAGGGGTTGTCTATGCCTTCTTGATCAAGCATGTTATTTTGATTAGAGAGTATGTATAAGTTATGTTATTGAGTATTTGTAGTTGGTCATATGATGTTATGATATGATTAATCATGTTAGTTATTATTTTGTAATATGATTTGTATGTGAGATAGCTTAAGTAAAGGATTGCTAGGTGTCAAGATGTATACATGTATCACTTAATCAGATCCTTTTAGATATGACGATTCAGGTGTCAAGGAAGGTACTAGATAGCTTAATTAAACAACACATATGGTCGACACTTGTTGGATGCCTTAGGTAAGGACAACTACGTACAAGTTGAAGCTATATACGACAAGGGGTTGAAAGCTAAACCCCCAGCCTGAAGCGACAGATATTATATTTCGCCACTGTAATGGAATATTCGGATATTAGTGATCGAATATCCGGATATGGCATATCTGAATTTGTCCCCGACATATATACGGATATTCTGGACGAACAGAAGTAAAAATAAATGTGTTAAATGATATGCTCTTTGACCTTATGGAACTTAAATATGGAAGGCTTAAATCCACTTCTAAGGAATGTGGAGCCTTAATAAATGTTAAGAAAAATGGAGTAGCTATAATAAATAATTTAGATGTGATTGGATGTCTTAGGGTGTGTATTTGTTACTATGTCATGGATGATTAGATAATAAAATAATTTGGTAAGGTTGACATGAAATGAATAATTAACTAGTGGATGGTTAAGTATGATAAATAGAATAATTCGTGGATAACTCTGATATCAATAGACGTTATAAGTGAATGATTAATAGTGGTCATGATAATAGGTAAATGTAAGATTAATTATGCGAATTGTAACCATATAGAAAGGAAAAAGTTTATTCGTATTTTTATAGGAATTTAATTAATGGTGAATTATTATGCTTAGCTTCCGCGTTTATTTGATTAATTAGTTGCGCTTAATACCATTTTTATGTTAACAAACTGGTTCGACACGGGGTGTTACATTATTGGAGAGCATTTTTCTCTCCTACACATACATCGATTTTCGTGTTGCTTCTTTTTTTCTTTTTCTTTTTTTATAAGTGGGTGGGTCTCACACATCATTGTATCTATAGTTGAAAGAGCTTCTCTCCTATAGCATGAGATTAATAAAATCCTATAAA